TTATGAATGTTTCTGGAATTCTACACATTTGCCATATCATAAAACTTACCCTTTTTCATTTCCTCCTGACCTTAAAAGAAAAGAGATCTTGTTTTAAATACCATGAACCTCAGTCACAAAAAAACAAAAGCCAAAAAAAAACCAAAACAAAAAACCCCAACCAAACAAAAACATAACAATAACAAAAACCAACCAAACAAAAAGTTTATACAGGAGAAAACAAAGAATACAGGTTTTGAAGATTTTTTTTTTGTGGTTTAGTTATTTTCCCCTCATGAAATGTTCCCCTCATGAAATTATTTCTACCATACAGCACAGCCCTCAATCCTCTTCTTTCTTAGGAAAGAATCTTTTCAAATACTGTGTGTTGGAAAAATGAGATAATTGCCACAGGAATAAGGGAGCTGAATAGTTTAGAGAGAAAGAAGAGATCTTTTCTCTTCCCACCATCACAACATTAACAAAGACATTTCAGAGTACGTGGAAACATCTTTTAAAATCTACAGCTGGAATGATTACATGTAACACAAATAAAATACAAAAGGAGGCATTAGGTGGAAGTATCTGACAATGCAAATAAAAAATTGTTCCATGCAAATATATACGAATAGATTATTTATGTATAAAATGAAGTGATGGCAGCAGTGTGAACCAAAACTTTAACCACCTTGCCTTCATCAAGCTGAATAAATCCTTCCTACCAAACCCTTCTAGAACTGACCAGCTTTAACACAGGACAAAACTACAGTTCTTGTCAAGTGGCAGTGGCAGCAGAGATTTATTTATTTCTCTGTATCAAACATAAATTCCCTTCTAAAGTGAAACCAGTGCAAGGTGAGCAATGTCCAGTTCATAATCAGGAATTATCCAACAGTGACCTCAGCTACCCAGGGCTAAAAAAGGTAAAATCAGATATATGATTTAAAAAGCAGAACCCCTGAAGATTTCCTAGTACCCATCTATTCTACAGGAATATTTTCAAATGCAAACCAGAGCCTGAGGGTAGCCTGGATCAAGGGGAAATAATTTGCTTGAGGGAGCAAAGGAATCACAGAGAAGTGAATCCCACAGGCTAGAAGTCTTGCTGAAAATTTTTATTTTCAAATTCAAACCAGTTGGAAGTGGGACCATTGGGCACTTCACAACTCAGGGAGTCAGATACTAAAAACAAGCTGTCCTCCTTCTTTTCCAGTGTAATTTCTCCCTGTAATGTGGGTAACACAGGCTGAGATCCCAGAATATTTCAAATTTATACTCCAATATGCTTTCTTTGAGATGCTTCATTTTTGTTCTGAGTTATGCATCAATTAAACTGCAATTAATTCATGTCAGCCCCTAAATGTAATAGGAATAGGCACTGCTTTTGTTTCCAAATCACTCCCCTCTGGAAGTATCAGGAAAAGCAGGTATCATCCTCGCAGGGACACTATTTCTACACTGCTCCAGGCTGTTTTTAGATAGTAGCATCACTTATTTCCAAAGTAATAAACCCAAATGCTCTAAGTGGCTGACTTGGTGTGGATTATTGCTCTCTGCTGCCTTAGTTTTAATTGAGCTTTTAAAATCTAGATTACAAAGTGAATCCAGAACTCCATGGTAGATAATGAAAGGATTAAATTAACCCTCTGTGGGATTGATCAGGTTTATTTTTATTTTCTTTCCCTGTTGCTCTTGCTAACCTACTGATGTTGTGTGTTTAATCACAGCCATCAGTCTCTGCAAAGTGCAGTCAGGGATGATTTCTGCAGATGAAATAGTACATTTTACTGCCTTGTTAATAGGCTTGGATTTTAATTTTCCAAACAGATTCCTGTTATTCAGCCTGTGCAATTGCCATAATGCCTTTCAATGTCACAGCCACAAAAGAGTCCCATGAAGATCACTTTACATCTGCAGACAGATGCCTAAAACCCAGTGCTGACATTACCTGTGTCAGGGTTTTAATATCTGACTCCGTGATTTGTGAAGTGCCCAATGGTTCCACTTCCAACTGCCTTGAATTTTAAAACAAATATTATCAGAAAGACTTCAAGTTATTCTTAGGGATGGCTTTGATATTTAGGTTTTGCCTAAAAATTAGGCTTTTGCCCAGTTGTTCATCAATAGCCTGCCAGCCCTCTGAACAGCACCTTTAAAGTCATCTTTAAAGGGAGAGGTTGACATTAAAATTCAATTTCAAAGGGTAATATGCTGTTCTTTTAGTCTCATATTCAGGCAGCCAAACTGAAAGGGTTTCTTTAAAAACCTCTTTTTTTGCCTGCTGTTCAGTGCACCTTTGAGATCTCGTCCAGCATGAGAGGACAGTGGGCACAGAGTGATCCCTTTTACAACAGAGTGATAAGTTTAACATTTTGCTTTTAGCCAGCTTAACTTTCTCATTCTGGCAGTGTCAAAATGCTGCAGGCCATGGCATGTAAGAGGAAATGTCATCCTTTAAAAACAGAGCAGATTTTGCTCTCCTTGTGATGTGCGAATCTTTCTCTCTCCCCTTTGGTCACTCCAGCAGGCTATTAAAGCTTAGTCATGGAGCTCCCAAATCCTTCCATACACAGGTCTGTGTTAAGCTTGAGGATAATTACAGATTCAGAATTTAAAAAAAAAAAAACAACACCAAAAACGTAAAATAAAGTACAAACAAGACTGAAAAAAAAGAACCTGCAGCCAGGATTTATCAATCTGCTGTTTATGCTGCCGGGCTACCACTGGGGACAAGATTTTTCAATTGCATTTTATTAATACCTTGCAAAACCCAGCAAATAATAATAAAAAAGCCACCCCAAGCCCAGTGGGTTATGTTGAAGAACTGAGAACTATGAAAATCCAAGGATGTGGGCCAGGTTTTATTGTGGAAGAACCTCTGACCAGCTCAGGAAGAGAGGATGAAGTGCAAGTCAGGATTTTCCTTCTGCAGTGCCCTCATTGCTCTGAAGGACCCAGAGCTGGGACACTGATGTGTCTTCTGCTGAAAATAAGTGATTTATTTGTGCCTAGTGCACCACAGGAAGAATATCCATAATAGTTTCTCCTAGTGAGCAAACTGCTGTTGCAGCACATTAAGAATCCATGTGAGTACTCTGTCACTGGTGGCTAATTGCACGAGGACATCAGCAAATTAACTTTTAACCTGTCAGAGTCTATTGCCAAAACAGTATGATAATAATCCATGGATTAATTTAAGTCTTCCTCAGTTATAGAAACTGGTCCTCTGCTTCCTCTCTGCAAGAAAAAAAAAATCACTAAAGCTGCTTGCTGGTCTCCCAAACCTTCTAAACGCAAATAAGACTTCCCAGTGAAGCCACAGCCATGCTTGGAAGGGAATTCCATGGGAAATTTCACACATTTCACAGGATATTCTGATTTGGAAGGGACACAAGGATCATTAAGTCCAGCTCTTGAGTGAATGGCCCATACAAGGATCAAACCTGAAAACAGAGGTGCTCGAGCTGATGTTTGCTGCAGAGAGGGAATTTGCACACCAGACAACTCCACAAAAAATCCTATTTTGCAAGACCCTCACTGAAACAGGGCATGTTTTCCTTCTCCCCCTTCTCCTCCTGCTTTTTTCCCAAAGAGCTACAGATGTGAAGCTTCAGGGCTTTGTTCCAGGGAGATCTTGAAGCCTGTAGTGTCTCTGCAGGAGTTGTCCCAGCAGTCACACACTTCCCAGGGGATGCTGTGCCTTCCTCGAGCACCTGCCTTTCCCTGGAGCCACAGCAAATCTGGAAAAACTGCCTCTACAAACCTGGATTTGTTAGAACTCTGGGGTGGCACATCAGCTCTCCCTGCCTCAGCTCTAAGGAGCAAGTGAGGCTGTTTGATAACTCTTTTTGTAGCTGGGGATGGGGCTGTGCTAGGGAAGGGAGGAGCTGCTTTGTCATTCCCACAGGGAATTCCTCACAGCCTGGCAAGTTGTCTGCAGGGACAGCTGGACACAGGGAAAGTATGGATGTTACCAACAGTGCGACTATTTCCTTGACAGATGAGAAAATGTTTACCCAAAAAGTGACAGAAATTCTCTGGGTTCTTCATTAGTCTGAGAAACAATTAGAAAACTGGTCGAAGATGCAACCCAGAAGATTTCCTGCATAGAGCAATGATGGAGATAAACACATTAGGCATTTTCCTTCTCCTCTGAGACTTGAGAGGAGCTGAATTTAATTAGTTTTAAGTCTCTTCTACTGGGAAAGCTGCAAATAAAAAGTGGTCTCTTAAATCGGATATACAGAACATCTAATTCAGGTCTTTGCTGGTAAGAAGGAGCATTTTATGAAGAACCAAAGCTTTCAAGGCCCTATTCAAACAAGTTGAAAGGCCATTTTGAGCCAGACAATTTCTTGCAGCATCTGGAGTAGAGCATAAACACTCACATCCACGGATGAGCAGAGAAGAATTGGTATAGCCACAAAAAAAACTTCAGCCTGCTGGCAGCACAAGGACTGCTGATGAAAAATTGCAACAGGAATGGAACGAAAAAACAGCTCCCTCCATGCTCTGGCTTTTCCCAGGAGCCAGGTATGAGAGAAACAACTGAAGAGGAGAGCAGAGCTTTGCTGCAGCACCTCAGCAATTGGGTGTGAAGGCACCCACTAGAACAAGTTCTCTAATTGCAGAGAAGTGCAGAAATGGCCCTCAATAAAACAGGTCATTAACTTGTGTGATGAGCAGGAACTTCATTGGGCAAGGAAACATAAAGTAGGTGTGAGGGGGGGGAGATAAATTGGTGAAGCTGGTGGTAACCTGGGATACAGTCAAAGGCAGATAAAAGGTGATCAGGTTTTGAAAACACAGGTTTGTCACAGTTCATGACATTCTAGAGCTGGCATTTCTATACACTTTGTGTATCTCAGATTGTTGTCATATGTTTTCTTCGTGGCCAAACCAGATGGAGTCCATTGTCTCCTGCCCTGTCAGTCCCCCAACTGGCTGAGGACTGGAGAAAATCCAACTGTTATCCTTCCAAAGCATCCAGTGGCAACCTGCTACACAAAAAATTCCAAAAGTGTTTCAATATGCAAAGCTTTACTGCTTGATATAAATTGATATCCTGATTTTTTTCCACAAAGGAGTTTTCCATGTTACAAAGCCTTACAATGAACATCATGAACTGCTCAAGCAAGACAACAGATTTATCCTGTTAATGGTATATCCGGGTGTTGCCTGAGGGTGCTCCTGTTGAACACGTTCTTAATGGTTACATGGCATAAAATTAACTGATAGATATGATTTTGTGGTGTGATAGTTACTTGGAGGCTTTGACTAATGAATTTTAAATGGATGAATTAAAATTCATTAAATATTGACACTGGGAATAAGACATGCCAGCTAAAAATCTCCGGCTGCTTGTTACAGGGGTTCAGAAAGTTAATGGAGCCCTGCAGGTTGTTTTTGGAGGTTTATAAAGAGCTGCCTGGCCCACTTGCTGAATGCTTCAGCAGAGACCAAGCTAAATGTTTCTCCATGCTTTTAGTAATGAGGCTTTTATTGTTTCACTCAGGTTGGGGAGGAGATGAAAAGGAGGCAAAGAATTTTTCTTACCTGAAAGAGGTGAATTACCCCACGAAATGGCAAGGTGACAATTGTACATAAGACAATGTGATAATTTTTAAAAGCTACTCCAGTCTACTGCACTCCCTCGTGGCTGTGGGGGTGACTATTTTCTGTGATATGCATTTAAACTGCCCAGATTTCAGGGACTTGACCAATTTACGTCACACGCGCTGCTCTCCTGCTGAAGCAGGAGGCACTTTGGAGCTGTGCTTGTGGGTACAACCTTGGCCATTCCGTGCCAACTGTTTGGGTTTCATGTTTTCCATGGGACACACCTTTTTTTTCCTCTCCTGACTACACAGTGTGAATTGAGGGCTGTGTCCGAATCCCTCGCTCGTCTCGGATTAACTTGCCACAGTCTAAATCCGTAGATAAGGTGGTGCCAGAGGTGGAGTTGGACGGGTGGGTTTGCTTACACTGCAGTCCGTAAAAGAAACAAAAGGCCTTGCATGCAAGAAAAGAAAAATGGAGAAAATAAATAAACCAAAGAGGCAAAATCAAAAGCAAACATGAGAATGAGATTCCAAAGCTGTTTAAACCAAAAGAGGCTCTAGTTATGGAAACAGAAAAGTCACAGGTTGTATTCAATGCTTTGGATTAGCTCAGGGTGAACAGTACTAAGCTTCTTATTTCACCAGGTGAAAAGGAAAACTATCTGACAGAAACCAGAAAGTGACACTGAAATAATTGGTTTTCAACTCTCTGTAAAATTGCTTCTGCAAAAGAAACCACATTAATGCATCTAAAGATTTTAATTATTAAGAAACACCTTGCAGTGCAGTGCCAGAAATGTGTATGTACACACATATATGGAACCCTGAATACTGTGATGTTCACCCAACATATTGCTCAGTAAAGGAACACTCCTTCCTGGTTTAAAGCTCTAAGTCTGCTTTATTCATGGCTTCAGGAACACATTGCCTTTCACAGACTCCTGAAAAGTTTCCAGGATATTCTACACCATATTAGCATTTATACCAAATATCTTAATTAACTGCAATTGTTCTTTAAAATGTATTTGAATAGAAGATCCCCTGAGACATGAATGAAACAAAGATATAAATATATTCTTTATGCATTTTGTGCTGAAACAGTATTGTGCTGAAAAAGTATTACTCAGAAAGCTGCAATATGTGCAAATACATTAGTCCTTTATCTCTGACTTGTTCCAAAACAGGGACACTTTGATTTATATGCCCTGAGATGGCTCCCCATGAGCTGTGTCTGTTCCTGGATGTTGTTTTCAGTGAGGGCGTGCTCAGGCAGATGTGGGGATGCTCCTGCATGGCCAGGAACTGCCCTCTCCTGCAGGATACTGAGAGGACCAAACCCACTGACGGGACATTAGGTGTCAGGGACCCAAAACAGCACCACTGGGGAAATGAAGATGCCTGGTAGGAACCAGCTCCCTTCCCTTCAGCAGGTGTGAGCCTTGGTTTGCCCATTCTCTTCCTGGTAGCAAGGACCTGCAGCTGATGTATCTTATCCAAAATCGGGTGTTGTTCTCTCCAGGCCCTCAGCCCTGGCTGCTGGGTCACTCAGGTGTCAATCCCTCCCATGTGTCACCCTGACTACTGTACATGGTTCAAACTGGACCTACCAGAGCGAGTTCAAAACGTTCTCCTTCTCCTCCCACCCATCCCTGCTGCCTTTGTTAAGGGCATTTGTCTCAACAGTCGTTTCTAGCGCTTATCAGCCTTGCAGGATCACACCTTGGACTAGGAGGATGAATCGCCCATGGAAAAGCTCCTTTGGCATCTCAAAGTGCAAAATGAGCTTAAAAAACTCCCTTGGAAGGAGAGGCCTCCTGTCTTAGAAGTCTATGTGAGGAGATATGAACCTCTTGGTGATTCAGGGGCCACCCTGGTCATCAGGGGCACCCACCAATCCTTTGGTGTGGCGTGAGCCTTGTCCCTGTGGCAAATCCTGCTGAAGGGAAGAGGATCAGTGCATCTACAGGAGAGCCACCTCAGGGTCTAGGACATGGCCAGGACAAACAGCCCCAGGGCAGGCAGCCAGAGGAAGAGAGTTGGCAGCTTCAGGAACAGACTCCAAGTCCCTGCTCGTGCCTCGCTTTGTTTGCAGTTTGTGGGTCAGTAAATGGGTGTTTACACTCGATTTTAATGATTGATTCTTTCTCACAAACTGCTGGAATGCTCAAGGATTGATTTATACACAGCATTTCCTTTGTTTTCCCTCTGCCCTTTCAAATTGCTCATTACACTTCAGTGGAGCTATAACCAGAATTTCTTTGGCTCCATAATCTTCTTTTACAGTGGCATTCATCACCTTTCAGGAGTTCTCCTGAATGCTTTGAAGTGCATCCTTCAGCACAGCTTGTAAACCCCTGATTCTGAAAAAAATTGCTCTGTAGAGCAAGAGGAAAATCACACTTGGGGATTCGGACATTCATTCCTCTGTTACTCAAAGGGATGACGTTAATGCGACATTAAAATAAAAAAAACACACAAACCCAAAACAAAAAACCAAACAACAACCCCCCCCAAACAAACAAACAAAAACCAAAACCCAAACCAAACAGACAAACCCCCCAAAACAAACAAAACAAAAAAAACAACAACAAAGCAAAAAAAAAAAAAAAAAACAAATAACCACAGACCCAAACTCAAATAAACAAACCAAACCAAAACAAAAAAACCCAAACACAAAACAAAAAACAAAACAAAAACACAAACAAAAAACCACACAAAAACCCAAAAACCAAAATCCCAGGTGTGTTTTCTTCCATTCCAACCTAATCTCTGCTTGAAGTCTTAAAAATCAAGCACAAACTCTTTGAGAAATTAATTGCCCTTGTTGTGCACTGCCCTACTAAGCAGCACTAATTGGACTGTGGGTGAAGCACTTCCCTGTTCCTATTAATAAATTATTTGTTATTAGAGCCAGAAACGCCTGCTGAGAATTCAGCAACACACAACCTACACTCCAGCAAAGAGAACTCCAGCACAGTTACCCCCCCATTCCCAACCCTCATCCTGCCGGGAGCACAGGAATGCTGGCAGGGGCTGACTCACCTGCTCAATGTCGCTGTTTTTCCTGGATTTGTATATAAACTCCCCAATGGCTACAAACACTGACAGAACCAGCCCTGCAGCCAGCACGATGAAGATGCCCCCAATATTCTCCACCCCGAGGGCACTGGCTTCTTTGCTGTCCTCCTCGGGGCACCCGTTGCCTCTCCACCACTTCTCCTTCATCATGTGCAGCTTTCCCTCCTCCTGGAGCTGCAGGATGGCAATGGTGATCTTGTCTCTGTAAGGAGATCCTGCAAGGGGAGAGCAAGGCCTGTCAGTGCCACCATCTGCAGCCAAAGTGCTGCCTCATCACAAGGTTGATTATTCCTTGTTTTCTCTATGGCACAGGTGGGAAGTTGGCGTCCGCCCTGGGGACTTAAAACCAGAAGGCTCCACTGGTGCAGTTATTTGAGAATTCATTATCATTTCTAAGGTCTCCTCCTGAGGTTTATTTAAGCCTTGGCAGTGGGTTTACTTGCTCAGTATCATATTTGAATATTGCTTTGGGCATCCTTGGAGAATTTCCGCTTTGCATCTCCTCTCTTGACTTCAACATCTGTTTATTTTTCCTACTGCATGTAAATGAGTGGCTGCTGAGAAAAGTCCACAGTCACACAGAGACTTTCTCCTCTCGTTTATACCTGGATCAACCCACAACTCCACTTCAGCTACTTATAAGAACATGGGGTTGCCCAGTCCTTTTTTGCTATGACTTGCAACAATAGTGGCACTGCAAGCTCAAAACAGCAACTATTTCATGCTTTGCAGGCCAACAACAGCTTGGGAAATGATGTGTGTGCAGGTCCTGCAGCACTAATGGGCCTGTACAGTAACTGGGGGGGTCACACTGAGTGTGCTCTGGCTCTCTCCATCCTCCCAAATCTCTGCAGTCTGTGCCTGGGAGAGAGACTTTTCTTTATGGGACCAGAGTTTTATGACAGCAAGCAGGACAGGGTTACAAGAATGGTTCTATGAGTCTATGAAAGGCTCTTTGGCTCCACCCCCAAATCCTGCCATGTTGGACTTCCTACAGCTAGAAGCATTTAGTGTCTGGGCTGAAATACAGTGGTGAAAGCCCTTTGTCCACATAGCTGACTCCTGCCCATCCTTTCCTCTCCTTTAGCACATCAATGAGACCATGCAGGACAAGGGGGAATGGCTTCAAACTGACTGGTTGGTTTAGGTTGGATATTAGGAAAAAATCACTCCCTGGGAGGGTGGGGAGGCCCTGGCACGGGTTGCCCAGAGAAGCTGTGGCTGCCCTATCCCTGGAACTGTCCAAGGCCAGCTTGGAGCAACCTGGGATTGTAGAAGGTATCCCTGCCCATGGCAGGGAATGGAACTGAGTGACCTGTAAGGTTCCTTCCAGCCCAGCCCATTCTCTGATTCTGTGATTCCAAGCTTTTCTTAAGGTGCCATTTCACCAAAAAAGTCACATTTTGCTGCAAATTAAAGCTGTTGCAACTCTCAACATGATCAAGGTAAACAAACTTTTAAGGCAGATCATGTGCCAGAATTCCAGAGAACTTGTGGTCCACATAGACACAGACTTCTTAGAAAAATCTCACTAAGGCACCACTGTTGTGTCTTTATACATCAAAACAGCCTTGGAAATTCGGCCTCACAGCTTCAGGTTTCTTCCTTATATTGCTGTGCAGGACATTATTAAAAATAATTGTACCATGAACCCAAGTGCCCCTCCCTGCTTTCCATCTCCTTTAGCCCCCAGCCCTGTCTGAGGAGAATCAGCAGGACAAACATTGCAGTTCTTCATTTGTTGTGCCAACACTCAGCTGTTTTTCAGTGCATCCTACTGCCAGCACCAGGCCATGCTGTGACCACAGATGCCAAGAGACGCCTGTCAGACTATCCAAAATCCATCTGGGAAGCCAGTACTCAGCAGCCACTGCTTGAGGTAGCCAGCTTTGAAAGGAAAATATGCCTGCTGTAAGAAGAGATGATTTGTATGCTCGTTATTAAAGACCCCAAAATAACACAGCAGAAAACAAACCAGAAACACCTTCACAACTGGCTTTACACAGAGAAGTGAATTATTGCCAGTGAAAACAGAAGAGAGAGAAGAATTGTTTCTACCTTAGGAGGTATTTGTGGCCCTGATAGACTGTGGGACTCATACATTTTCCCCTGTCTGAAGGGACAGAGCTGTTGGGTAAAGTGGAGCAGGCAGAGTCACAACACAGGATTTGTGGGGATGTTCATCCTTTCTCTGATGTTTGTGTTGCCATCACCATTGTCACAATTTACTCTGAGGGTAACAGGTACATCCATATTTCTTTGTGCTTTTAAAGTTTGTCAGGTGTGCCTGGAGTGCTGGGTTGGTGGTGTTTTATTGGTGAGGTAAAAAAACAAACACAAATCCATCTCAACACCTCTTTGAATATTCAGCACATCATTTCTGGCCCCTGAGCTATTAACAAACTACCTCTTAAGCCAAGAACTGCATTTATCTCCTTTCTTAACACTCTCCCAAGTAACTGGTAATAGCTTTAGTGTTGGAATTACCTGCATCAGCACTCTCAGTTATACTGGATTTGGAGAACCTTCAAAAATTATCCTTTCCTGTGTCTTTGGGAGCCATTTAGTGTTATTCAGCTCATTCACTGGAAATTTTAGAGTGCAAGTCATATTTTGCTGCGGGAAACCCTGGTCCTGAGGTTGTATATTCTCCTGAAGGAACAACTTCAGGAGACCAGTTAAGACTTGCTGAAACTTTGAGGCCAAGGGTCATAGACAAACCTTTTTTGTCTCTTTTATTTTCCATACAGCCTCTACAATCAATACTCTGGAATGCTATGAGAAACATAACAGAGCCTTTGGGGTCCACCTGCATAGTGGAAGGTTTATCTTGTTCATGAAATCAATCCTTTATAAGATGCTGGATGGTACTGAATTATTTCACAGGGCTTGGGGGTATTTATTCCCCTGAATTTTGCTAGGCTTCCTTAAGAAAAAATAAAGGTGCATTTATCATACAAGAAACATCTTATAAATATATTTCACAGCTGTTATTTCCAATGGATGCACTCTCTCTGAGGATTACCATCTGTTCCAATTATTCCTTCATTGTTCTTGCTTTAAAGCGTGGCAGCTTTATAACTGCAGTGAAACTCTTGCCATGCATTTGTCTTTCTTCAGGATTTTAGCTTTTGTATCATTTTCCTCGGGGTGTGAAGGCTGTTCTCACAAAGCCAGTGGAAAAAATACACTTTAAATGTTGTCTGTGTGACGATCTGTCTGAGCTACTCAGCAGCAGAAAGAATGACAGTTCAAAGTGCAGCGGTGTTTCTCCCTTATTTATATCGGCTCTACCAAGCAGTGGATGAACCAGGCCCACCACCTGGTCTAGTGGAAGGTGTCCCTGCCCATGGCAGGGGGTGGAATGAGATGATCTTTACGGTCCCTTCCAATCCAAGCCATTCCATAATTCTACCTGCACCCCAAAGAGAGATGCATGAAAGGAGATGGATTTCTGATTCATTTTATGACCCCAAAGCAACACATAACAGTGAGAATCAGCTGCAAGGTCCTGCATCAATCTCTCTGAAGTCTTTCCAGTAGACCTTTTCTAGCATATCCTTTTTGAGATATGCTAGCAGAGCCCTTTTTGAGATCTGATTTTAGAGAATTAAAATTTGTGTCAGTTTTTTGTGCTGTGTGCTTGGGAATAATCACAGAATCACAGAATCAGTTGGGTTGGAAAGGACCTCCAAGATCATCAAGTCCAACCCTTGATCCACTACCACTGTGGTTCCCAGACCATGGCACTAAGTGCCACATCCAGTCTCATCTTAAAAAACTCCAGGGACAGAGAATCCACCACTTCCCTGGGCAGCCCATTCCAATGTCTGATCACCCTCTCTGTAAAGAATTTCTTCCTAATATCCAACATAAACCTCCCCCGGCAGAGCTTAAGACCTTGCCCTCTTGTCTTATTGATAGTTGCCTGGGAGAAGAGACCAACCCCCACCTGGCTACACCCTCCTGTCAGCACCAGGGAGCCAGAATTTTTACTGTTCCATAGAATGGTAGAATCACAGGATGGTTTGCGTTGGAAGGGACCTTAAAGATCATCCAATTCCACTGTCCTGCCACAGGCAGGGACACCTTCCACTAGCCCAGGTTGCTCCAACCTGGCCTTGGACACTCCCAGGGATGGGGCAGCCACAGCTTCTCTGGGCAAACTTTGCCAGGGCCTCCCCACCCTCCCACGGAAGGATTTCCTCCCAGTATCCCATCTCACCCTGGCTTTTCCAGTGTGAAGCCATTCCCCCTTGTCCTGTTTCTAGGAGCCCAGGACTGATTCAGATGGCCACCTCAGCTTCTGGGTGAGCTCCACCACAGCTGGGCCCCAAAGCACCTTACCAATGGGGGTTCCCACGCCGTAGCCTTTGGAGTCGATGAGCCCCCCGATCTGGGTGAGGTTGCAGTTCCTCTGGGTCACATACTCGATGCTGGTGGACTCCATGAGCAGGGCATAGTCTGTGGTGAGCACCCTCTGGATCCCCTCGTCGTTGTTCTTCACCAGGGCCGTCTGCTGCCGGCTGCTCATGAATGCCCACATCTTCTCGTACGTGGAGATTTTGGATTTCTGAGCGGGGAGAGGAGGGCAGAGAGTCACACCAGCACCCAAATTGCACTTCTCAAATACTCCTCGACCTGGATCACAGGAAAGGTCCTGTATCATAGATAGGTCCTTTCACTCCATCTCAGTTTCTCCAGCCCTCGAGTCGCAGCTTCATGGCTTTTGGGTACCCCTGGGCGTGGGGGTGTCCCCAGGGCAAGTGTCTGGCCAGGCCAGGTCAGGGCTTCAAAGCTCCCAAAAAAAGGGGCAGAGTTACCTCTAGAATGTTATGGCAAAGGTGTTTTTTCCTTAAATGTACTGTAACACAGGTGGAGTGCAGGGATGGAGTAACTTTGCCCAGAAATCCCTGCTCCTGCCTTCCCCTAATTCCCAGGTCTCTCCCTGTGTCTCCCTGTGCGTGTGCTTAGCTCAGGAGGTATATGCAGTATTTTACAGCCTGAGGGAGGCAACGTTACCCTCGCAGAGCACAGTCTTCCTTTGGCATAAAGAAGTACCTGTCACATTTATTGTACAGAGACCCACTCCAGGATTTTTTATTTTAAATTTTGTACAGCACAAAGAGCTCCTAATCTTGTGAGGATCTGGAGGGGCTTCTGCAAAAAAAAAATAAAAGCACCTTCTATTTGTTCATTTGTACTGTGTGTGTTTACAAGTGTGAGATATTGTATTTTTCATGCATCTTTCACTGTGTCACCTTCACTCTGCCAGGGACTCCATCCCCAATTTCTGAACAAAATTAGTGTACTTTCCCTTGTGTTTGTATACACTTGTATTTCAGGCACAAGTAAGCCAGCATGTGCAGTGTATAAATATTTAATCACCTCATCTGAAATGTTTCTTTTAAAGGCCTATACATTCTTTTAAGCCTACACATATTTCAGCCTGAGGGATTAATGGTGCAAAAAGAAAATCAGTGTAAAGCTGAAAACAGTTCTAGGAATTTGCTTGAACTTCTCATATTGAACTTCAGAAGTTATTTCCTCTAAAACCACATGGAAGCAACAGGTTTTGAGGTTTTATCTCTGATGCTGGGTTTGACTTCAGAATATCAAAGGCAGTGACTGTCTTTGGGCATGGAAGAGCTCTCGAGTCAAGGGATTTTCCCAGAGTCTTTCAGAAGATGGCACAGCTGGTTCCTGCTGCCTTATACTCCTGAGGAGAGTCTGGTACTCGCCTTACAAAGCTCCCAGGAATATCTCTATGTGGGTTTCCATCTTAATGGAGATGTCAGTTCATCCTTTCAAGAACTGTCTATAATGGAAACCACTGGAGTTTGTGCCTTTCTTTGAGCACAGGAACATTTCTGTTCAGCCACATGAGAGCCGTTACAAGGGCAGATCACCCTGGGCAGCTCCAGCAGGGACAGACTACACAAAATCCCAGAATTCCAGAATAGCTGGGGTTGGAAGGGACCTCTGGAGATCACCCAGTCCAACCCCCCTGCCAAGGCAGGGTCACCTGGAGCAGGTGACACAGCAACTCATCCAGGTGGGTTTGGAATGTCTCCAGACAGGGAGACTCCACACCCTCCCCTGGCAGCTGTTCCTGTGCTCTGCCACCCTCCATGGAAAGAAGTTCTTCCTCATGGTGAGGGGGCACTTGCTGTGTTTCAGTTTATGGCCATTGCTCCTCGTCCTGTCACTGGCACCACTGAAGAGCCTGGCACCATCCTCTGACAGCCCTTGGAGATATTTGTGTGGGCTGATGAGATCCCCTCTCAGTCTTCTCTTCTCCAGACTAACCACAGTCTCACACAGTCTCTCCTCATCAGAGAGATGCTCCAGACCCCCCATCATCTTTGTGGCCTCTGCTGGACCCTCACATCTATCACAGGATTGACACATTCTGGATGAGAGTTATACCTTTTTGTCTCATCAGGGCTTCTGGTTAAAGCAGGGCAGGGGCTCAGGCTGGAGCAGCTCATGTTATTTTGCCCCAGATGCTGCTTCCCCACAGTGTCTCATCCCCTTCAAAGGCACTGCATGTTTGACTGTCTACAAACACCATCCTTAGATGCTCCAGGGAGAAGCCTGACACCAGTTCATCCTGTGCTTAACTTCCCTGCTGAGACTGCTGATGGAGCTGCTAATTAATTCTGACTGTCACAGGATTTTTAGGCATGTATTCTGTATTTATAGCTTGCTGGCTTTTACATTTTATGAGATTATCCATTTTGCAGGTAATTAATACTAATAATTTAAAAAAAAAGAACACAGTTATCTACAAAGCAATTAGCCACAGAAAACTGTCTTTTACTTACTGATGAGTTCATGTGTTTATGCGGCCCTTGTATTAAGAGTCTGTGTAATATTGACCATGGAGCACTTAAAAAAGGGACAAATAAAGTTGCATTTGGATTGCTGGCAGTATTATCAGTGTGCAAATGTGACTTTCACAAGGTGAAGCAGAATTTTCCAGCCAAGTGGCTGGAAGAAAATGAGATCCCACCCTGAAGCAACCTGGAGGAGAATATCCCCAGGCTCCCTTCAGATCCCCCCATCACAGGCAGGTGGCTTTGGCCCTCACAGCAGTACAGCTGTGACTGTTTTTCCACGTGCCTTGGGGGAAAAACCTCCCAGCTTTCGTACTGCTGGATTTGGGCAAATGATGTATTTACCTACTCTGCTAATCCTGCCAAATGCTGTGATTCCTCCTCACTGTTTATCCTGGAGCGCCGGGAGTCTCTGACCGGCCAGGCCTGGCTGGTGCCATCTTACCTTGAAGAAGGTCATTGTGGATCCATCTCTAACAGCCCCATACTCTATCTTGGTTTGCTTTGCCAAATCATCTGCTGAATCGATGGGGGATTCCATCCTCTCCACGGTCAGAAAGGCAGCCAGGTTGGCAGTATAGGATGAGATTATTATTAAGGTGAAAAACCACCATATTCCTCCAACTATTCTGGTAGAAAGAGCTTTGGGCATCAGCTCTGATCCTGTTACGATACCACCAAAACAAGCATATTAAAATGATGCTGAGAGATGCCCTTCCTGAGATGCCACAGACGGTTTTTAGGCACAGAATGCTTTTATGAGCTGTAGGATGATAAAATGATTTAAACAATAATCTCACAGATGCACAGCTAACATTTATAATGGGAACACACTGTGAAGGGGATGTATGCCATGATACATGACAAATGGAATTATCCTTGGGTCTAAGCCCCTTTACATCCCTGAGCTAACCGTCATTAACCTCTTCTGCCCCCAGCAGGCTATCCTAGTATTTTTGGTTGTTTCCTGAATCCTTTTTTGCCTGTACACTGTAATCAATTTTTAAACCAGGGATCTTAACAGAATCTTACAAGCTGCCTGACAGAAATATCTTACAGGAGAAACCTGCCCTGTGCATCCTATTGACGTATCTGAGCAGAGACAGGGAGATCAATGCAGTCCCAGTGAACTCATCAGCTGTGTGAACCTCAGCTCCAGCCCCAGAAAACCTCTTTTTGTAAATGTGAGCTTCACATTTGAAAGTTCAGGGGGTGAATGGACACATCCTTTGGATCTACAGGGCAAAGTTTTGGATGGTGTCTTTAACACTCATTGTTGATGAAAAGGGTTTAGCAGATCTGCCTGCAGGTCACACCTTATGTTTTGCTTCTGTTCAAATGTTAAATCCTCAAGCAGTGTCTCCGATTCTCCAAGTTTTCGAAGTAAAAAGCTGCCTTGGCTCTGAAGTGCATTGTTTAAACTGTCATTGCCATAAAACCCCACAGAGCAGCACTTGTGCACCAAAATGGTTTCTAAACAGCTCAGATCACCTGTATTTAAGGCACACAAGTATTTCTAAGCATTCTGATACAAATTTTGTGCTCTTTTTTTTTTTTAGGTGCATCCCCACTGAACTCCCCTCATTATATGGGTTACCAAAATCTGGTTCAGCAAAGCTCCTAGGCAGCCACCTGAGTACTTTTGACTTCAAAGTTAAGCCTTTGCATAATTATTTTCCTGATGAAGGATGGACTTAAGAAAACACTTAAGTGCCTGTGAAGGGAGATCTCAGCACAGTAAAGCTTTTGATGTGACAAACATATTTTTATTCCTGGAAAAACCTGTTGATATATTATCTCTCCCCAGCTATTTCACGAGTTCTGCAAGAAATTTCAACGTGTTGCAGAGAATATTTTTAGACTTTGCAAAAACTTCGAAAGTGACTTCTGGGGCAGAGACTGAAAAGGTAAAAGCTTCCCAAACAACTAGCAAACACATCTAACTTAGCTTTGTAAACACATAGACAGGTCCTTAAAGTCAAAGCTAAGCATAGCCCAAGGAGTGACAGAACTGTCAAACTGTGAGAGCAGTCTAAAAGCAAAAACTCTCACTTTAAATTGTCGAGGCCAAATGTACTTGTTTCCAGAGCTGTAGTTCTGTCTGGGTTTATATTTGTGGTCTGCCGTACTTTCTAGCTTTTCAGAATCGATTTTTTTTAAAATACAATGAAATATTTTCTCTCACTTTTTCTTTTGGTGTTATTGCTTTTAAGCTTAGACAGCAACACAAATAGAATTTCTGCTCTTGGACCCTGATGCAATACCCGACTCTGACATCCCAGGAATGCACAACAGCAGGTACCTTGCAGACCCCTGCACCAGCAGCCCTGAAATCTGTCAGTGCTGCACAAGAGGAGGTGAAGAAGCCCTGAGTGCTGCCCTTGTGGGGTGAGACACCAAACCTCCTGTGGTCTCCTACAGCAACATATGGTTTGTGGAAAGCAGCAGAGTACATTCAGGTCACTTAAGCTTTGAACCCACAGCCTGCTAATTATGCAGTGAGTGACTGTTTGGGGAGGAGCAGAGCCCACCGTGGGCAGGGACACCTCCCACTAGCTCAGCTTGCTCCAAGCCCCGTCCAACCCGGCCTTGGACCCTCCCAGGGATGGGGCAGCCACAGTTTTTCTGATGTGTGGCCTCACCACCCTCACAGCCAGGAATTCCTTCCCAATATCCCATCTAACGCTGCCCTCTGGCAGTGGGAAGCCACTCCCTCTTGTCTTGTCACTGCCGGCTCTTGTAAAAAGTCCCTCTCCGTCTTTCCCATAGTGTCCCTTCAGGTCCTGGAAGGCCACAATTATGTCACCCTGGAGCCTTCTCTTCTCCAGGGGAACCCCCCCAGCTCTCCCAGCCTGGCTCCAGAGCAGAGGGGCTCCAGCCCTGGCAGCATCTCCAGGGCCTCCTCTGGACTCTCTCCAGCAGCTCCAGGTCCTTGTGCTGTTGTTCCCAGGGCTGGAGGCAGCTCTGCAGGGGGGTCTCACCTGAGGGGGCAGAGGGGCTGATTCCCCCCCTCTCCTGCTTCCGACGCTGTGGGATCAGCCCAGGATGCGATCCATGCTCACCCCCTTCACCCTACACACTCTCCTGAACCAGATGCTCCTGGTCTGACCCGCTCCCTGGCTGAACTGGGGCTCTGAGGGAAAGCTTTCCTTTCTGAAAGTGCTAATTTCTCTGAATGAATTGGATGAAATGTGCCCTGTTTGGATGCTTTCAGAATATGAGTAACACATCCAAGATTTCCAGGGGAAAACAGGGGAAGCAGCATCTAAATAAAAATGTTGCCAGCAAGACTCGGGGGCAGAGACAATACTTGCTGAAGTCTCTCTAGTGCCTTTTTATGGCAGACATGACAGCCAATCCTGATCCAGACTTTGCTCACGCTCTGTAGAAAAGAGAAAGTCTGATCATCACATTTTAAAATTTAAAAAAAAACAAGTGGCTTCCAATCAAGCACAAGAAGAAGCTGCTGCCAACAGGAAAGAGCCCAACGCTGGACGCAGAGTTTCCCAACCATTCCCATCATGTCCAAACTCTTCACATTGACAATGATGCACAGACAGTCACACGCACCACAAGTTTGTACATGGAAACATTTGTGTTGCCTTACAAATGTTTGGGTTTTTTCTTTTTCTTTCTTTCCTTTTCTTTCTTTCTTTGTTTTGTTTTGGTTTTATTCTCCTTAAAAGACAAGCAGAGTCTGGTTGGGGCTGACTGTCATGTACCCAAGGTAGTGGTAACGAGCAGACACTGCATCCCACAGTTTGCTGTGGATGATGGTAAACTCCAAAAAAGGCAGTACATGGAAACACAAAATCCTGGGGCACTTTCACACACAGGGCAACCACAGTTAGATACACACACCTGCCTGATACTGTAAAACCTCAGCCTGTGTTTTACTGATAAATTGGAAGGAAAACAAACGGGAAAAGCGATGCAGAAATGCTCTTCTTTCATCCAACCTCCTTCAAAGTAATTTCTGTGGGGAAGCTCTGTGTCCTCTAAATATATTAGTGCACCACTAAAAGCAGGTGCATCCTAGGTTCAATACCAACTTTATTCTCTACCATAGCTAGGAAAAAAATCCTCCTCATGTTTTTCGTGGTTTGTTTTTTTTTTTCACTGCCACTCATGTCTGTTAAAGAGGAAGGAATAAACTGTACCTGTATGAATGCAGAGATGGTTTTATATTCCTTACTTTAATGCTTAGGAATTAAATACCAAGGTACTGCTGGGCTTTTCTCTGGATTCCTTTTTGGTTGTTGTTGTGAGGTGGTTGGGGTTCTTTTGGGTTTTTTTGTTCAGCTTTGATTCAACTTGAAATGTTTGTCAGAAAATATTTTCATTCTTTTCAGTGGAGCCCAGTTTTGGTGAATAGTGACTTAATTGGAAACCTTAGAACATAAACAAGTGTGTTTAGTACATGTATCTGACTTCCCACATGGAGTAAACTTCACTGCCCTTCCTTGTCAACTGAGTAAAATGTCAGCTCTTTCCAAAATCATCAGCAACAGAGACTTGTGACTGGGGTAAGGCTCCTAGAGTTGGATGCCTTTACAGAAGGATGGGGCTCATACCTGCAGAAAAGCCATAAAAAAAGGGTTTGGGTTTGGTTTTGAACAATGAGTTTGACAAGTGTCAGCAAACTTAACAACCCTTCTGAAGAAAGAGCATCTTTCCTTGTTGGGCAGATAGAACAGTTTTTTTAGGGTAGCTAAGGCTGGTTACTGTTGGGATGGAGCCCAACATTCTCCTATTGCCAAACCTCTTATACCAATAAACTCAAACATGAAGCACTTCATAGCCCTCTTGCAAATATTTTCCATTTCAGCTCCAGAAACTCCGGTGTGGCCCTGTCTGCTTCCCTTTCTCTCAGACGCTTCCCCTCCTTCCTCCTGCTCTGGGTTCCACGGCTTCCTCTCCTCTGCCTGCTCCCAGTTGCAGTGGCACATCCTTTTCTTCCCTTCTTCTGTCCTTAGTCTCTCTGAGATCAGGTTTTACAGTATAAGTTGCATTTACAGAGGGTGGAGTTTACCAGCACAGAAGCCCTTGAGCAGACTGTGGGACGTGTGCGATAACGAAGTGTAACCGGTGTACCTTGCTGCATGAGAGCTCCAACTCCAAACCAGAAACTATTTAGTAAAGTAAAATTGTTTTCCACCACATCTGAGTCTGGGTTGCACGGGTGGGGGTTATACCACTCGTATGGTGTAAACCTGTGGCAGTCAACAGAAACAGTCTGTAAACAGCGAGTACACACAGCGAGCCTGCTGAACACCGCGCGGGGAGGGGAGGGGAGGGGGGAGAGGGCACAAGGAGGAGGAAACCTCAGCTGAAAGGGTGTCCTCGGGACATCTTGCAGCTGCCTCATGCCTGGATCTAGGACAGGGCTACTCCTGGATCTAGGACAGGGCTATTCCCGTGTAGAGCCCTCAAGGGAGAGGCTGCAGCCCTGCTTGCTCCGCTGACAGGCATCTGCAGGGCCCGGGGGACAACTGGAAGCCACGTAGCTGCTCCTTGGGAGAGCATGTAGGAGTTGGGAAGGAGTAGCAGCCCTCTAAAGGCAGCCAGAGTGAGCTGTCTGTGGTTGAGATGCATCCAGCAGACATCCTCTCCCTGAACAAAAAGCTGCCCACAACTGGGAGGCATTCAGGGCAACTGCAGGGCCCGAAAGCCACAGGGACACGTGTCTGTCACTGCTGAGAGAGAATTCTGCCTTTAGTGGGAGAACTTGTGGTCTAACTACACACTGTGCCCCTCCTGCTCTGCACAGCACCTGGCAGGACCATGTGAAGAGCCACTTCTCCCCAAGGCACCTTTGCCTGCTGTTGTTTCCCACTGCTGCGTGGCTTCCTGCATACTCCTCATAAAGTTTAGGAATATTCTTTGACAATGTCATGCCAATGCATTCTAATTACTGCTCCAACAATATAAATAAGCACTGAGTTTGCTCAGCTGAAGTGATGAATTCTGGTAAAAACAAACCCACTAACTGGAGCAGAGTGTGGGGTGCCATCAGCTGCACAATATCACTGCCACCACAATGAGAGTCTCAAAAATCATGACAAAACATGCAGTTTTCAGGTTCAAGACACAACAGCTCTGCACACACCCCTTAAAAGAAAAGCAGTTACCAAGTTATGTGTTTCAGATTTATGCCAGAACAATGGAAGCAGGTGTTGTGTAGTAACCAAATTGTTCCCAGCTCTGTTCATGCACACCTGGGGAAACACATCCTTAGCAAGAGCCTCACAATTAGGACCAGTAGGTTGCTGACAGCCATAGGAGTGAAGAGGTCCCCTCCACAGCATCCCAGAGTGCTCACAGAGACTTCTTACTGTAAGAGCTGTAAGAAGTTCTCTGCCTGACCTGCCCAGGAATCCCAAGACTGGGATCTTGCAGAGTTTCAGACAACCACCACATTCAGTAGGTTGGATACAAATGTCTCCATCGTGGAAAGAATAAAACAGCCATTGCTGGGAAGTGGCAATAAAATTCTGGCAGCAAAACTCTTTCTGCCAGACTGGAAAGATTTTTACAGCTCTGGGTATATATTTTAATGTGTCAGTAGGGTATAGATCTCCTTTCCACCTCTAAACAAAAGCTGATTTTCTGCTCGTGTTCCTATTGCTGTGCTGAGCTATAAGAAGAGGCTGGTTCACAATTCAGCTCCATTTCACTGCTCAGATCTTCTCTTTTCCTGGCCTTTTTCCCATGGTTTTCTCCCCCTTCAGCAATAGCTGTGCTGAGGTTTCTGATAGAGATGAGATGCTCAAGGTCACCTAAGCACCTTTTTAGCACAGGCTCTGTGTGACATTATTCACCTCAGCTACTTGGCTCTCCCTTCATTGACGTAGCAGCACAGCTGACATGGCATTAGCAGGAAATTTTGGCAGAAAACACCTGGTTCATTCACTGTCAGTGTACTTGGAACAGAGCTTTGTCAGTCTGCAACCCCTCACAGTGATAAAAACTTCAGTGTTTGAGTTTAAAAATTAATGTTACTATTGCAGGGCTACCCAAGGCTCAAAGACAAATGAGAAATTATTCAGCTGCTGAGAAGTCAAAAGAAATAACAGGAAGATTATCCCAGTCTATGGAAATTATTCTCTGGTATTTGTCTTCCATGAACTAATGTAAAAATACAGTTAACTGTTTAATTTACTGTGGCAGTGCTAAAAAGCGGATGGTTTCTGAGGTTCTTAAAACCAATCTAACCAATATTTGCTGAAAGACTTTGCAAATCTTACAGAAATCTTGATGCATTTGGAGATATGAGCAGGTCTAGATGTGGGCAGCAAGAAGGGCTTAGCTTAAAATTTGTAAATCTAAATTAACATGACACGTGAACACAATTTTTTGTACTTCTTCAACCCACGCAGTTGCATTTTAACAGAGCACTGCTTTTAGGTATCAGCTCAGGGAGAGCACTTGTGACAGAAAAAAACTAAGCATTCAGAAAATGATATTTTTTGCTGAACTGGGGCATTCTTTTTCTCTTTTCCTAAAAGAGGTGGGTTATAAAAATGAAATCTATTGATCTGTTCCCGTTGGTTCCGCTTGATCTGTTTCTGTTGTTGCAAGTCTGGGTTTGTGCTGTGTGTTGTGAACATGTGTGTGGTGCCTGTACCTCTAGTGACATGTAAGCCTTTTAGCTAATTTTAGCCATTAATTGGCCATTAATTGTAGCCATTAATTGGCCATTAATTGTAGCCATTTAATTTAGCCATGTTTGATGAATAGGCAGAGGCCTTAGAGGTTCTTGTGTTGTGAAACACTGCAGCAGGAGCCCCACCAGGAGAGGAGCTGCAGGATGAGCTCACCACTCCTTAGTTATCTGTTAATCAGATCCCCTATAAATCCTCCAGCTGCAGGAAAAGCAAATAAACACACAGACTGACTTCAATCGGTGATCACAACCCACCAGGAAACACAGGTCTGTAGGGAAATTGGGCTTCATCGGTTATGCTGCTCCTGGAATTACTGTTTTTTAACAGAACACAGCTGGAAAAGGGCAAACCTGTGGATTTACCAAAAGGCTGTATTTTGGGGCAATGTTTAACAGCCAAGAAACAAAAGCAAATAGGCAGGGATTTTTTTACCATGGTTCATTTCCTTTCACATGTCTGTGAGCAGACCAAGCACCCTGATACCTATTTAGTCTTCCAAAGTTGATGCCCTTTTTTTAAAAAATAGAAGCACTGAGGGTAACTTGGGTTTTGTTTTCCCTTCCACTGCGCTGAGCAATTGTGGGATATTTCCAGTCTTGGCACACAACTGCAGAAAAGTCAATCTGTCAGAGTCGAGCAGATTTAGTATTAGTCATGAATGAGATCATGATTTGAGTACAGTAGGAGTTATTATTTATGGCACAGTGAGCCACTAAGAGCTTGTGGGAAGTCATAACTAACTGTACACAGCCCCACAGCTGCAAGGGATGGATCAACTCCTCTTTTTCCTGGGGCCAACACTGATAACTTAACCCATGGCCCCTCCTCCTTTAATTCACAGAATCATTCAGGTTGGAAAAGACCTCTAAGATAATCAAGTCCAACCTTGGACTGATCACCACCAGGTCAACTGGATTGTAATTCCCTTCTCCTTCTTCACACTCTCAGTGATTTAAAGGAAAAAAAGCAAATCCCACAAATGTCTCTGCTTTGGTATCAGTTTAAAAACATGGAAATGAGCAAAGCATTCACACAGGTTTGGCCCCCTGGGACCAGGGTTGTTCAGTGGGCCATGGGGAAATGTGTATTTGAGGCCAGTCTCCCCCAGCAGAACTGCTCGTGTGAGTTAAGGCTTTGCAGGGCTCTGTCTCTTGATTAAAAGAAAGCACTGAATTGGAGGACGAGCAGAAAGAGCTTAATTTGACCTGGTTCACACAGAAGTGAAAGTCAGACCCAATGTGCTGAATTATTAGAATTAATGGTTCAGATGACAGCCGGTTTATGACCTTTGAATCTGGGATATGTACGTGTACATTGGAATATATACATTGTTGTTGACTTCTTAAAGTTGAGCGCCGTCATCTGCAATAAAAACTGCAGCATTTCTGTTACTTTCATAGAATCACAGAATGGTTTGGGTTGGAAGGAGCCTTAAAGCTCACCCAGTTCCACCCCCTGCCATGGGCAGGGACACCTTCCACTAGCCCAGGTTGCTCCAAGCCCTGTCCAACCTGGCCTTGGACACTTCCAGGGATGGGGCAGACACAGCTTCTCTGGGAAGCCCGTGCCAGGGCCTCACCACCCTCACAGCCAGGAATTCCTTCCTAATATTGCATCTATCCCTGCCCTCTGGCAGTTTGAAGCCATTCCCCTTTGTCCTGTCACTCCAGGCCCTTGTAAATAATCTCTCTCCATCATTTTTGCAGGCTTCCTTTAGGTACTGGAAGGCCACAATTAGGTCACTCTGGAACCTTCTCTTCTCCAGACTGAACATTCCCAGTTGTCTCAGCCTTTCTCCACAGGAAAAGTGCTCCATCCCTATTTTGCTGTGCCGTGAATGTGTAATGGGCTTCCAATAATACATGACTTTTCTTCTTATATTTCATGTGAAAAAATGAAGGATAGGATGAATAACTATGGCAGTTCAGAGTTTGGGTTTTTTCAGGAGTACAAAAAATAGTGTTCCTGAAATAGCAAAACCTCTGACAAGTTTCTAAGTTCATTTTCTTTCATGCTTGGTTCACTCCTGTTCAAAGCCCTCAAGCAACTGCCTTTCCAGAATGCGGTCCACGGTCTCTGAGGCCAAGGGAAGTGTCTTGTACCCACTTTGTGAAACCACATCGGCTGTCTGGAGTTTCTAAGAGAAAGTTCAGTGACAAAGAGTTCTCTGTTGGCCCACTGGATATGTGACTGTGTCCACTAGTCCAGAAACTTTGTGAAGAGCCTTGGAGAGAGATACAAGCTTTGGGTTTATTTGGAAAAGTGGTATGTGCTTATTTCCTGCTGGTTTTGAACAGGGACGTCACCAGGACCCTGCCAGTGGCAGGAATAGTGAACCCTAGGCAGAGCCTTGGGAGTGTTTCACCTTGAGATTGTCCCCTCAGGCTCCCAACCACTTTATCTTGCATTTCCAAGGGGGGAGGATTAGCTGAACTAATTAAAATCCTTCAGCATAAATATGTTCACATTCTCTTTTTTCCCCTTTTCACTGTGTGCACTGTGAGTGGAAGGGAGAAGTGCCTACATGCAAGTCATATAAAATGCTTTTCAACATAGAGGTGGGGTATGCAACAAAAATCCCATATTTCTCTTCCTTCAGCCCTTAAGGAAAGCAAAATCCCATCACATTGCAATGCATAAAAGTGATAGCAGTGTTGATGTGAAAATACCAAGGGACATTGCAGAACATTATGTTTTAGGACTGGATAAAACACTTTGGATAGTTTTCTACCCTCTGGACTCCACAGAGCCCAACACCTACAGGAGGAGAGCTGGTTAATGTGGATGCATCCAAAACTACGTCTTGGACTTACCTTGCAATGACAAAGAGGACACAGCTGACCCCGAGGCAGGCTAGGAGGACATACATCCAAATATCAGGAGAAAGAGGGTTTAAAAAGGAGAAAACACCAGGGTTTGTGCCGTTGGGCTTCCGGTACAAGATGCTGATTCCCAGCGTCATGAAGGGCTTGGAAAAATCAATTACTTTCTCTCTTACATAGGTAATGGTGAGAGGAGCAACAGCCAGATCAGCTTTCTGAAAACACAGATGGGAAAACACTCATTCTCTTTCATGTTCAGCAGTGAAACAATTCCCTCCATTTCTTCCCCGAGTATTAAAAACTAAACCAAATTTGATTAAAAATCCGAAGCACGCGAGAAAATTTAACATTTCTGGGGTATTCTGGGGGCATAACTCTGTTTCCTCTTTCTGCAAGGCAGAAGGACATTTGTGACTTCCATGTGTGCAGACCAGAGGCTGCACAGGGCATGGGTAAGGTGGAATTCCAGCCTCCACCGGTGGATTTTGCAGCCAAGGGATGGGTAGGATGTGCCAGCTCAGCACCTGCTGCTGCTGGACGTTCCCCCCACACCTGCAAACTGCTGGTTCAGATGTTCCTTCTCTGAAAAGTGGCCATAAAGACTCTATTATAATATAATATAATTAATATAATATAATATGATATGATATGATATAATATAATTAATATAATATAATAATAAAATTAGTGGCAATAAAGTGGCTCTAAAAAATGAAAACTAAAGCAAAGACCTCAATTGGGCTGGCTAAAGATAAAATACCGCAGGTGAAAGTAGAATAAAGAGAGAAGGGTTCAGTCTTACATGATCTATGAGCTCTTTGACCATCCCATTCCACTCTCCTTTGTCATTCTGGGCTCCATATTTGCCATCAGAAACTAGTTTGACCTCATAGATGAAGCCTAAAATATTTGAGAGCTCCTTGAGTAAGTCCAGGCAATAACCCTCAAATCTGTCATTTCCATACAAGGGCTTGTCCGACTTCTTGTACATAACATAGGGATCTTCCTATAGAAAAAGACAGTAGACATGTAGGAGGAGAAATGAGGTTTGTTTTAGATTATATCAGTTTCTCTACATCATATTGATATTTTCTAAATGGATTGCAAGCAGATGGAAACCAGTAATTTACTTCATCCATTAAAAACTGGTTTAGGTGTGTTAACAAATTCACTGAATGAAATAGTGATAGTCACAAGGGCCCTAATTTTCAGTGGAACTGACCATTCATAGCTCCCAGAAGCTTTAATTACAGCTTAGCAGCTCCAAAATCACACCCAAGATCTGGACCCTACATTGTCACACTCCAAGGGACAGGAAGGGATACAGGAGGAGAGGGAAGCCTAAATAACAGAAAAAGAACCATAAGGGGAACATAACATTTCACATTCTGTGAGAAATAAATCTTTATTGATACAAAACTTCCAATGTAGCAAATATCTGTGAGTGGAACAGGTATTCACACAAGGGAATGGAGAACAGCATAGGTAGGGTGCAAAGTACCTTGTTGCTTTCCCCTTTAAAGGATTTTGGGTAGAAGAAGATCTGGGCAAGCAGGTTTCTGCAGTTTAATGTGGCAAAAGGCCTCTGGCAATAGAAAAGTAGTATAGAAGGGAGCCTTTGAGCTCTTTCCCTCCTCCTGAGGAATTAGGCAGAGTAATTGAAAGCAGTGGCATTGCTGGGCAGGCAGAAAGCTTAGGGCAGAAAGACCCAGCTGCATATTTTCCATTCATCACAGTAAGGGCATAACTCAATCTGTCTGCCCAATGTTTGCTGCTCTCTTTCAGTCCTATTTGTCTCATTTTCAGTAAAAAGAGAAGGATGTATAAGAACTGACTACAAAGCTGAGTATTTGTGTGCGTCAACTCTTCTGGGAAGAAAAGTACACAGGGTTTGTCTGTGAAATATTGAAGCAATTTTGGAGGCAGAGGTTCCTGAGAGTCCTTCATTGGCAGTGGGGTATTTTTGAATCAATCTTGCGGACAGATTTTATGTCGATTCTGAGTCTAAATCAAAACATTTGCCTGAAAACAGACTGGTTTTACACAGCAGTGTTTAGTGTGGAGGAGAACAAGGCTGGTGTGCAGGGTGGAGGTGGTGAAGGGGCTGATGGAGAGCCCTGCCAGCCTTACCAAAATCGTGGTGACGATGAGGGTCCGGTTTGCCAAGGAATCCGTGATGTTGGTGGATCTGTCCTTGTTGCTGTCAGTCATGTTAAGGCCACTGTATGAGTTCCAAACCCCAATCTGCACAGAGAGAAGTGGGTGAGAGGCCCCAGAGTGTCCCCAAACACTCCCCTCAGTGGCTCTGGGCACCACAGAGAGAGATAAAATGCTGGAGAAGGGAGACAGGTCTGAGTGAGGCAGCAACACCAAATTCAGAAAACACAGGGAATGGACTGCAAAATGCCACTGCATAAGCCCCTAGAGTATAAGGCCCATCAACACAGTGCTGTGTCACCATTTTGCTGCAAAAGTGGGACATGTAGACTTGGTTTCCTGATAAAAAAATGTCAAATGTCTATTTTTATGTTGTGGGGTTTTTTGGTTTGGTTTTTTTTTTTAGATTTTGTAAATGATAGAGTTGAGACATATGGTAAGACCTCTCTCTTCTGATACAACAGACTAAAAGCTTGAGTAAATACTTTGAAGCAGATTGATGGATGTACTTGGCCTTTTGCTTCTGCTGTGCCTTCAGCAGGTTTAGCAAAGATTATTCTGTCATTCCTTGACTACTGTATATGATAGAGGCAATACCATTTCACACACTGAGCAGGATTTGTTCAGCAAATAAAAGTGGCCAAAGGCAAATTTCTTTCTAGCCCCGGAGACAGTGAAGAATTCCAGTATTTAAAGCCCAATCCAAAGCTTCAAGGGAAATGTCTTTGTGATTTCAGCACATTTGGATCTACACCTTGTGGGGGCAGAAAATAAAACCATGTTGATTTGTTGAGATAAATATTTACTTGTATGGAGTCTGAAAGCATCTGCAGTGTTTTTGCCTTTGGATTTACATACACAGCGTGGCTGAGGGCTGATGTGAGAGAACTCCAGGCAAGGAGCTGGCTCAGGCAGTTTGTGCCTGCTGAGTGTGGATTTGGGGTAATAACTCACCATTTCAAACAAACTTTGGGTTTGCGTCCCTGGGTGCCTTTCACAAACCTTTTTTCCCAAATTCTGCTTTGTGAGGACAGCCATGCCACTTAAAAAAAGGTTTATATCAAGCATTTGTCAGTCATTCCCTTTGTTTCCAAAACTAGATCAGGTTGGGAAACTGATCTGGAAAGTACACAGGAAATAAAACGTTGCATATTCTGATGGCCTGTGCCAGGAATACAGTAAATAACCAGTGTTATCCTTGGATTTGCACCAGGGTGGAGGAGCCGTTCTGCCCGTTGTTGCTGACTTGAGAGGCTTTTGTTGGCTGGCAGCAGGGAGGAGGAGAACAACCATGAGGAACACTGAGCAACACAGTCACAGTGCATCCAAAATACACCAGGAGACCACTCCACATCCGGAGAAAGGAAGGACACCACAAGTCAGCCTTGGTTAGAGGGATGGGGGAGGTCGGAGGGGCGCTGGAAGAACGAGGTCAAGGTTGTACATCACTGTGGGGAATCCAGGGGATTTATTGCAGTTTAGTGACAAGTTGGAGAGGTGTCATATGCCCTTCTCAGCAAGCCTGTGCTCTGAACCAACTGTAATTTGGTTTAAATCAATTCAGCATAACACAAAATGCCTACAGTCAGAAGGGAGATTGGTTCTGCATGTCAGGTAGGATGATCTATTCACCAGTAACGAGGGAAAGAGGGGCCTTTGTGCCTTAGCCTGATCCACTGGAGATTGAAACAGGGTTATTAAGGATGTATGTGCTTTATAAGAACACAAAAAGAGCTCTGTAGGATGGTCTCCTCTGGGGTATTAAAATCCCTCACAAAAACAACACAAAACCAAACCCTTTTTTTTACCCATGTGTGAGGGAGGGGAGGGGAATAATGAGATCTGTGGGAACTCTGTACAAAATACAATTCTAAGCATTACAAAAGATTCCTGTCCCATGACTACAGAACATTTTAAACTTGGTGGATGTAGTTTTTATCTTCGCCTTAGAGAACAGCAAGCCCAGGTTGTAACTCCAGCAGGGAGCCATGTGTGGAGCTGGTCTCTGACTCCCACTTTATGGGGATGGGGTAATTTCCATCTTTTATAAACAAGCCTAGTTCCAATTTCCATATGTTAGTGAATGACAGCACCCACTTAATCATCTGTATTATTTTCTGTAAGGAGCTAATAACACACTCACCAAAATTTTGAGGCAATAATGCTCAAACATTGCCAGCCCTGAGCATTTTGTGTGAGGCAAAACACCCCCAGCCCTGCACATTAAAACAGTCCTTGCAGCTGATGCCAAAACACATCCAAAATAGTCTAAATTTACCCCTCATGGTGAATCTTAGGTGAATCAGAAAGGACAGCAGCTAAGGACTGATTTTACTGCAGCCTCTACTCAAAGAAGGGAAAAGCAGAGCCCTCAATAAATGAAATAATAATTAACACCCCTCAGTTTTGGTGAAAAAGATGAACCCTGCCAAGATTTTTTTTACTCTTTGGAATCACAGTGTTTTAAGATGAAATAAGCTCATCCTATCAGAAAAATTCCTGCTTTCAGACTGTTGTCTCTAAACTGCAATATGAGAATCACTATGAAAACCCAAAGGTTGAGTCTGCAGACACAGCCCAAAGGTTTCTTGCATCACCTGTCTGTGTACAAACCTTCTTCCACACTTTATATAAATGCTTAGAACCCTCGCCAGCAGCCTTGGTACAGAGAGAAATAAACAGAGTGCTTCATTAAAAATGAAAAGAGAACCCGTCTGGAGAGCTGTGTGGGAGCAATTACAGTTAAAGTCTTAATTAACCCATCAGGAATTATCACTCAGAATCAAGCCAGTGTACACAGAGCTCTGTCTGCAGCTCCAGGAGCTGCTGGTGTCACCTGTGTTAGGGGTTTTTGCACACCCACAGCAGTGGAGGGAGCTCTGTGGAGCCCATTGAGAGCCCACGTCTGTAGGGGAAGGGCAAAAGAACTGATCTAACCTCAAAAACCTGGAGAACCTTCAACATCTCAACTCTTGATGAGGTTGTTACTCGAGTACCTTCTTTCTTCTCTGCCCTGTGTCACATTTATCTCTATATATCCATATACGTTTCTCTATCTCTATGTAGGAATTGAACACCCCGAGTTGCAGCAGCAAGAACCGAAGATAACTTGCGCTTAAAATTATTATTATCTCCATCAGATAAGTGTTGCCAGTCCCAAATTCCTATCCCACACCTCAGAATGCATTGCAAAATAGCAAAACAATCTTAGTAGCTCTGTTTTAACTTTAACTCAAATAATCTTGAGAATAGTGGGGTTTTTACCCCAAGCACAGGAGATTCAAGCTGAGGAGAATGGCCTTGTCAAATCAGCTTTTTGTCATGGTTTTTTTTTTTTTTACAAGACATGTGTTTACCTTTTCTGTTCCTTCCTCCTTGAGGCTGATAATGTCCAGATCAAAATCCTTCCTTAAGCCATCACTTTTGTTGAAGGTTATTCTTCCAGTCAGGCCATCCCACCGTGCCTGTGGGAACACAAAAACGCTCTGCCCTGTAACAATCAGCAGGAACTACTCTGAAGCCACAACAAGTATTGAATGTTAAATTAAGCACAGCATTGAATCACTTCCAAATATCTTTTTAAGCATATGTGGCTTTGTTGCTTTGCTAAAAAAAAACCGCTTTCTTCAACTCCAATATGTTTTGTATTTTACAAGTTTGCCACAGGTTAAATATATAGATTTACATATGTCTGGTACTGTATATAAAAAAGACAGACTGAATAAAGAGAAAGAGAGCATAAAATATGTGTTATTTGTGCCCAAAGACAGGGGGGTTTTGCACTGCATAAGAATTCATTAAGAAATTAAAAGAGGAGTCTGCTCTGTCCAAGCCGTGGGTCTGAACCTTGGAATGTGACAACCAGCCTCACCAGCCTCGCTTGAGTGATCCTCTTTGCCCCAGCTTGGAATGTTTTCCGCTCTCCAGAAAAAATGGGCAGCAGCTGGCAATCAGTGCTGAGCGGGAGCACCCGGAAGGTCCTTCCTGAAGGAGGGTATTTGCCCATCCCAAACCACCAAAGCTTTCTCAACACTTCAATCTTGTGTGACAGAATCTGCCTCTGCTACTCAGCGCCCAGAAATCCAGATTTTTCCAGGAAGAGATGAGCTTTTGTCATCCTTGCTTGGTCTCTTGGGCATCTTGAGGTCCAATGTCCCCCATCAGTGATGGACTTTCACTGTCCTGGACTTTGCTGAATTGTTTCACTAATCCCTACCCATTTTGCATTCCCCAAGGAAGAAGACACACATTCCCAACTAAGCAAACAAGGTGCATCATTCCTAACAGGAGCACTGCCACTGCCTGTGCTCTCAGGTATTGATGGCATGACAAGGATGGCTTTGAAACCCAACTTCCAGGAAAAGTCCACCCAGTCACAGAGACCTAATAAAAGCTTCGTAGTGTGAGGTACACGTGAGTCCTGCATTCATGTTTGAAGTACAGCGCATGAGTTGCATATGATCCATTTTGGTCCAGGCAGCATTTTGTAAATCAGTGAATTAATTAATTGTTTGAAACACTGGCAGCAGGAGGTGGACTCTGTCCATCACTCTGTATAGCCAGGATAATTCCCTATGCTGGGGAATGCTTCTTCAGGGCAGCAGGATCAACAAGAAGAATTAACTTTCTCCACCTGTTATAATTTTCTGTATCTTGTAATCTTCCCACCCAGCTCGTTTTCCTTTAAAGATCCACCTGTCTCTCATCCAGCCCCCACTTTGTCCCCAGAGCTAGGGCTTATCTATAAAAGAAAGTGTTTGATGGGTTTCCAACTGCAGACAATTTCGATAATCTATTTTTGGGGGCTCCCACATTAGATTAAGTTTCTCAAAGGTACAAGGAAAGCTGACAATAAATGATGGTGTTGTTCCTTCACATGTGTCAGCCATATAATTTTAAATTACAGGCTTTTCTACTGCACATCGTTCTTTGCTTCATTTAATTTGTTTGAGACAGAGGACATAAGGAAAGCTGCATCAAAAATCATGAGGCTTCCAGACTGGTGTCTCCCCATCCTTTTAAATCTAAATTCCAGCCCTGAATCTGCAGAGTTTAATCTTGGATGCTGGGCTGTTATTACCACGTCTCAGATAAATCTGGTGCATCTGGAATTCTGTGGAAATACAGCAGGAGTTCAGAACATACTTAAGTAAAATAAGAATGGAAAAGCATAAATGCAACAAACTTGCTGTTTAATAATTCGGGAATACACAAAAATCTCTGCTGTAAACACCTAAGCACTTGCAGGGTTATTCCTTATTTATTTATTACACTGAAATCATTAAGATAGCAGGAAGGGATACATACAGATGCATTTCATTCCATAATATCTCTTTTCCACTCTGTCTTTTCATTACTCTGACGTGACCCCCATCTCTTATTCACAGAGATGGAGCATTTTTTAAAATATGATCTTTAGAGATCAATCCCTCCACAGAGGGCAATTTGCTGCTGTGAAAGGCTCCCACTTATCGATTATACATCACACGCTCGGCTTCTCTGCTAACCTGATATGATCTGGGATAAAAACCCAACGTGTTATTTTGGGAAATGGCATCAGGAGCCTCCTTGAGGAAAAAAAAAAATATTTCTGTGGTGAAATGCATCTCACTTTTGAAAGCAGGAATTGGTGCTCCTGCCTCCACACTAAAAAAGCAGGAAGGAAGAGGTGTTACAAGCTGCATAGGTGTATGTTTAAATTTGAAGGTACAGAGAAGGGTATATGGCCTTTGTCTCACTTCAGTCCACTTAGACCATCAAATGACCCAAATATGATTTAAATTATAAACAGGAGCCAGGGTATGTTTGTCAGAAGAGTTAAATGTTGAAGGGGGTTTTCAGGCCCTTAATTCTGAGGCACATGCTTCAAATACCGTTTGAATTCTAAACTGAATTTCTGATGTTTATTTTATTGATTTTATTTCTTCTAAACAAAAACGGAGCGTTTGGGTTTGAGCGCGGTGAGTGTAATTGTATTTCTGAACTTCAAGGCCATGCTGGGGTCTGTGTGTTCACCATGTCTGGACAGACGGGTGATGTTTCTTTCCTGATCAGAAACAAAAGTCTTCCTTGAGAAACAAAGGGAGGGATGAGCTAGGAACAGTCCATCCCAGGCCTTCTGAATTGTGTGGTAAAATTTCCAAGCTTTTAATAGGAGTCCTAAAGCAGCTGCCTGCTGCATGCAAAGACAGTGAAAAGCATCATTGCTCTGAAATCAGAGCTGTATCCCACCTGCCTGTCAGGGAAATCAGGGATGTGAGGCCTATTAGGGAACATGTTCAGGCAAACAGAGAAAGCAGCAGTTGCACAATTCTCATTAATTAACAAACTGAAATGAAGCAGAACTTTCTGAACAGTCAGGAACTGTGTGACTGTGTAACCCAGTGATGAGATTTCGTGCTTTCCCACGGGATTTACTGCAATTTTAATGTTTTTGGTGACATGGTAAATGTTACAGGATATAATGGAAGTGCAATCAGAACCTAATCATGTAATTCATCAAAAATAAACTTTACCAGAGCTGCTTCCCTGACTCCCCTGAGTGTTTCAATGATTCTGCTGCAGTGAGGAAAGTATCTCAAAGTGTCCTCCTGAATTCTTAAGTCAGGTCCCTGAGCACTGGACTGAGTACTCCTGTCTTTTCTTTATACTTGCAAAGAGAGAAGCTAACAAAAATCATGGAATGGTTTGGATTGGAAGGGGCCTTAAAGATCATCCAGTCCCACCCCCTGCCATGGGCAGGGACACCTTCCACTAGACCAGCTTGCTCAAAGCCCATCCAGCCTGACCTTGGACACTTCCAGCTTCTCTGGGCAACCTGTGCCAGGGCCTCCCCACCCTCACAGGGAGGAATTCCTTCCCAATATCCCATCTAACCCTGCCCTCTGGCAGTTTGAAGCCATTTCCCCTTGTCCTGTCACTCCAGGCCCTTGGAAATAGTCTCTCTCCGTCTTTCTTGCCTTGGCTCCCTTCAGGTCCTGGAAGGCCACAATCAGGTCACCCCAAAGCCTTCTCTTCTCCAGGCTGAACAACCCCAATCTCCCAGCCTTTCCTCCCAGCAGAGCTGCTCCATCCCTCTGATCCTCTTGGTGCCTCTCTGGACTCTCTCCAGCAGCTCCATGTCCTTGCTGTGCTGTTCCCCAGGGCTGAAGGCAGCTCCGCAGGGGGGTCTCACCTGAGGGGGCAGAGGGGCGGAATCCCCCCCTCCCCTGCTGCCCAGGCTGTGGGATCAGCCCAGGAAATCTTAAAATTCCTAAAAGTTCTCAAATTCCTAAACCCCTCCAGCCTGGAGTTTCAGTAACTCCCAGTGCTTCCCGTGTAGGTGAATCACCACATCGTACATCGCCCGTGGCAACTCTAAAAACTGTTCTTGGAGAGGTTTGGAGAAGGTGCTGACAGCTCTTCAACATGTTCTGGAGCCACCACATGGCTCGTCTTTCGGTTTGCTCCTGCTGTATTTCTGGATTCAGGTGTTTGCCCTGACGTGCCACCACCACTCACCTTGTCCCTCAGCCCACAGGTCCTGCTGCACCCACACAAGTGCTAATGAATGCAGCTTTGGTAGGAATCGCACTGGCAAGGACTGGGAATGGGGGAAAAGTTAAAATGTATGTAGGATGCTCCACGTAATTTCCTATTTTCATTTCCACACTCTTCCCCAAAGCAAAGCTTCCATTTGAAATTCATAATAAAACCTGAATTTTTGAAGGAGTGAAGGCAATTCAACTAAAATATGTATTTTTTAGGGCATCTCTGGATCAAGCCAGCTCAGTCATGGATTCTTATAGTGCAGTGCTTCATGAAGCAATTTCCTTCTTGAGAAACACTGGCTGCACTGTTTCCTGGATATTGATTACTGATTCAACAATGTGCAAAACAATTGGAATTACATAGTGAAGCAAGGACAGAGCTCCAGACTCACTTTTCTTTCAATTTCTAGAGTGGCTGTTGTTACTTTTATAAATTATCAACATCCATAATAAACACGAACTGAGCAAAAAACCTTGGAATTATTATGATGTGTTAGGGATTTTGTCACACCCGGGGTTTAGCAGCTTCTTTTTTTGCAAGACCAAATAAAGTCTCCACCAGAATGGAGTCTGTAAATCAACGTTTCTCAGCTAGGAAAGGGAGGAAGAACTTCATATCTGAGCACCAGAAACAAGAGCACAGCATGTGACAAGGAACAGGGAGCAGCCAGAGTGGCAAAGAAGAGAGGAAGGACGATGCAGGCCACGAGCAGATGGTCTACACTTGCCTCTTTGATCAGGTTCATAAATCTGGGTCCAAAGCGCCAGGGTTTGTGCCGGTGGCACTGCAGGGAGCTCACGGTCAGCTGGGAGGCACGCTGGGAGGCCACTGCCACCATGTACACGGCGTCGTACATCAGAGCTGCAGCAGTCTGCAGGGAGAACAGAGAGAACTCCTTAGTGTGCATCGTGGGGTCTGGGCCCTGACTGTCCCTGCTGACCTGGGCTGCTGTTACGAGAAAGGCCACTATGGGCTCTCCATGGAAACCTGAAACAGTTTATAATAATTTCACAGCATCTTCAGGTGAGCTTTGGGAAGGAAACCACATCAGGCAGCTGCAGGAAGAGAGAGGTCGGTGGGTGCAGCACAGAAAGGAGTGCAGGGGCAGCTCTGTGGCTTGGAGAGGAGTTTTAAGAAGCCCCAGGTCACACAGCCCAGGTGTGTGAGGCCCACATGAGCTCCCCATCACCATTCTTCTCACAGCACTCCTGGGATTGCTTCCTTTACCCCTTGCTTTCCAGGGAAACCAATCCCACCAGGCAGGTATCTACTGTCTCTATGTGTCTACTCTCCTCAAGGATCTTGGCTTTTCTATATTAAATGGCCCCACCAAGATCTGGCTTTGGTTGCTCTCCTGTCACACCCCCCGTGCTTCCCCAGGGAGAGGTGAACTGTCCTTTTGAGGTGTCTTTTTTTGGGATTAAGTTGGATTTACATATCTAAATTCTCATTGCAGATGGATACAGCCCTTAGGTACTTAAGTATTACCAGATAGATTTATTTACTTTTTGCATCTCTGTTTCTTTTGAGAATGGATTTATTGGTTTAAAAAGCATGACCTCAAACTGAGATCACACACCCTGTCACCCTTTATCACTGGGAAGTTTTAGGAAAGTCTCCCCTTCACCTGCATTTTGCATAATGCACAGGAATGCTGAACACATGAAGTGCTTACCTTTCTTGTAAAGCTGATAAATAATTAAACAGGGGCCTTAAAAAAAAAAAGTACTAATTCTGCAGATGAGAAACTGAACTCGTTTATAGGAACTAGAAAGCTAATAATTTTATAGTTTCTTTTCCATGCAATTACTTTGGGAAAATAATACATTTGATTCTTTGTCTGTGTCATTTACCTAAGGAAATTACAACAGCTTCAGTCTTATCACCATTGGAGATTTTTGCTGGCAGTCAAATGTATCTGAATTTATGGATTAATCTTAATATACCGCAGATGAGGAATTGCTCTCAATGTGCTAGTCAGGGTCTGCCCAAAATACTGCTCCCACAATTGGAGAACATTGGGAAATCAGAAAACATTGTGAATGCTGAGTCAAGCAGGAGGAGACAATAACATCTGTTCTCACTGTCAAATGTCTTAAAACAGACAGTTGTTCCAACCACACTCAGTCAGATCCAAAATCCCTCAAAATCAATGGAAATATTCCCATCAACGTCAGCGGAATTCAGAGAGGTTTTTACCTTAGACTGGGCAGGTGTCCTTTCAGGACTGAATTTTACATGATCACTGCAATCCAGTCTGTCTGTGTCCCAGGCCTGGAGACTCAGGAAGGAGATTCTTGGCCAAAATTGTCCAGTGTCCTCACTTTGCTCTCCTCTCTGGGACCACTGATGCTTTTACTTGACAACATGGTGCATCCTCCAGTGATTCCATGTTGGCAGCACTGCCAGGCTTGGCTGCTTGAAACTTGTGCTTGTGCAACTCGCTCCTTATCCTTCCTTCCATGTAGCAACTAGGAAGTTGTACCACCTCCCTTGCCCTTTTATTTCTTGCCTCACTGTTGCTCTGTTTTAGGGTGCAACAGGTCACCTCGTTTTCTGAGGACAGTCACCTTACCCTGGTGTCTGTGTTGTCTGTAAGGTGAAGGGGCTGAGAGTAAGCCCTTGTTTTTCTGACTTTTGTACCCTACTTAAACCACTGCAAAGAAGCCCAAAGATCTCATTAGAACAACTAGGCCTCTGTGTGCAGTTTGGGCATAAAGTGAGACATGAACTCAGAGCTGTCGTGGTCATGCCCTGCTGACTCCCCACAAGGGGACATCAGGGCAAGGGAGAAATCCTGAATTAACATATAATCCTGATCTCTTTGCGCTGTGCAGCTTGTACAGCCTTATTGTTAAATGAAACAGAGCAGTGTTGCAGCTCTCCATCAAACTGAATAAGCAGAACCTGCTATGAATATTGAAATGATCATAGCCAGCTAGGAAGATGCTTTCCTTGGTGCTCGTGCTGCTTCAGAGCATCAAGGACACTAAGAGATTATGGAGACGTAAAGCAGAGGATAAGAATCAGAGATACAAAGGAGAGAAGAAGAGTCTGGTGAGAACTTTGTTTTTCTGAGTGTTCCAGTTGGGTAATTTGTTGTGAATTCCCAGCAGGGGTTCCCAGGGACAGCTTTCTCCCCTGCCTTGCAGAGAGTGAGCACAATATCACTGCCCAAACAAGCAATAACGTTTGAAAATGCTAGAGATAACAGACATAATGCTTTTCTCTTCAGGATGTTAAGATATTTGAAATTTTTCCCTGCAATCATCTGCAATAAAGTCTATTTCCTATCACTTGGAAATGCCCTCAGAACAGGAGATATGTCATCTTATACTGCAAAAAAATGGCAACCCTTCACCCTGCAAAATCGAATGGAGTAATGCTGTCTACATACTTGTTCCTATTCTTCCCTTGACTTCTTGGGGGAGTACTAGGGAGGAAATCCTAATTTCCTGGCTTGATGACACCTTTTATCTCTCTTTAAATTATGTCTTAAAAGCCAGATTTCTGTAGAAATGGAAATTAAGAGAAAGGGCACTTTACCCATTTCAAAATGCTATTCCCTGCCCACATACACGATACCTTTCCCCGCAGGTTACAAACCTACCCCTGCTCTGAAAGTTCCTCTTTCCTGTTATTTTCCTCACTCCGCACAGAATATAATCAGAGGAATGAAGCACCATTTTTGCCTTTGAGAGCAATCAGATGAATGATGTCAGCTGGGCAGCACTGTGACAGAGAATTGTCACTCAGTTCTAGAGGGGTTTGTCACAGAGGTGAGCACAACATTTGCTGAGGGGGCAAATGCACTTGTGTCAAAACCAGCAAAAGGAATTCTGGCTTGGGGATGATGTTGCAGGGTTGGGATCAGCCCACACGTGCTGGGACAGATGCCCTGTGACACTGTGGTGGCTCACTTACTGTCATCATGCCATCAAGGAGCCCAGTCTCAGGTTTGGGGGGTGCCTGCAGCCGCTCCATCGACCATTTCTCCACGACGGACGACACGTGCGGGTTGTCGATGTTGAGGAGCCGAAAGCCCGTCATGTTCACCCCGCTGTACCTGTAGGGCTCCAGGTCTAGTGCAAAGAGGTCCTAAAAAAAACAAATTCAACCATATCTAGCATTTTTAAAGCAAGATAGCACCACTAGGCCCAGTTTGTGTTTGATTTTCAATCTAAAGCCCAAATATTTTTCTTTTTCCCCTGTGAACACCCTCCAAGCCTACTCATGACCGCTTCAGTTTTAAGCCTGACTAAACCAAAGCTGTGTGAAAATGGATGACAAACCACACATCTGCTTTTTGGAATGACAAAAATCAGTTCCCCACAACAACACTGTTCTGTGACCAACCTGTATCTAATTCTAATGTATAGGTGTCCCAAGAAACCAGATTTAGCATTTTTAAAGCAAAAGGTTCACTAGGCCCAAACTGTATTTGATTTTCTATCTAAAGCCCAAGTGCTGCCTTTTTTTCCCCCTGTGGTTTTCCCCTCTGACTGCCCTCCAAGCCTACTCATGACCACTTCAGTTTTAAGCCTGACTAAATCAAAGCTGTGTGAAAGTGGATGACAAACCACACATCTGCTTTTTGGAAGGAAAAAGTCAGCTCCCCCAAACAACACCGTATTTCAACCAACCTGCACAGCACCATCTAATTCTGACTTATAGCTCTGACAACCCAACGTGAGGAATTAGCTGGCCAATGTCAAGCTTAATTCTCAGCTCGGGGAAGGAAAATTCCAAGACATGTCGAGAGCAATACATTTTTGCTAATTATGAATCCCATTTTTCTCCTGCCTTGGTGACTTGCTGCCAGGATGTCAGATGGATATATCAGCCATCAAAACAAACCATTTACAGGAGAAGATACCACCAGCACTGCTTAGTGCTTGTTCTGATATATGCTCTGTACTATCTTCTACATATTGTTGTTGGTGGTTACTATTTTATGGTAGATTCCTGTATTGTTTATTGTATAAAATTTTAAGTTCCACAGTAAATCCTAAATTTTCACATTTTCCTTGGTGCTAAAATGGCCTCAAAGAAAACTACTTTGAGTTCCCAACAGCCAGAGCATCTCTTCTGACTAATAAGCTGACTGTCGGATTCAAAACTTTTTTTCACTTCCACATAAAATTTTATTTGGAAAGGAAATAAAGAATAAACAGAGGATTATATAGGCTGATATAATCCAGCCCTCTAGGACTGTTCAAGCAATATCAGTTCTTTGCTGTCTCTCTAGTCTACAATGCAAGTGAACCTTAAGCATAAATTGAGTTATATTTATATGTAGTATGTAAGTCAAAATAGAGGAAAAATGTGCTGAAATAAGTATTTATAGATTTACAGGTTAACTTTTACTTGAAAATTCCTGAGTGATTTTATATATTTGTGACTTTGTGTTTTGGTAAGCAAATTAAACATTTTGTTGATGACCTCAGCTCCATTGCAAAGCCATTGATTCGTTATTTCATTTCACTCTGATCCACCTGTACTGATGGTTCCTCAATCTCAATACTGCAATTAATTTTCACTGTATTAAAGTGTTAACCAGCCCCACAGATATGGCCAAACAGAATTGTGGGTCCTGATATTAATAAGAAGTGTTAGAACTCGTTCTCCAGGAATTTCCTTGAATAATGGCAACAAAGAGCTCCTAGAAAAAGGGGGAATTTTTAGTTGTCTTTTCTGCAACAGGGAAAATTAACCCCCAAATCTTTAATGTTTCTTACCAGTGTTGTAAAAAAGTAGTGGTAGTATTCTGTCATCATTCCCATGGAGAGGATCTGTTGGAAGAGATTGAAAGGTGAATGTACTTTACTCTGAAATATTCCACTGCCTTTTGAAAAGTAAGAGTTAATCTGGAACAACACATCCCAGGTCAGGAAAACTTGATTACAACAAACCCTATATTTTTCTTCAGGAGCCAAAAAATATCGTGTTGTATTTAAATTGTGTTTTTATCACCTCTCCTCAGGAAAGAGATTAAAGATTGCAAAGCTTCTAGGACAAGAAAAATTACTAGAGATAACGAGAAGCTGATTTTTTAAAAGTGAAATTCTTTAGTCTGCAGTTTAGAAGTGTTAAAAAGGAATTTACTAGCAGACAACACAATTTGTAAGGAAAAGTGCTTAGGTGCAGGTTTTGTATTCTGGGATTTTGTGAAGAGAGGGAGGAATTATGACCTGGGAAACTACTGAGGAATTCGTTATCATGACAGTAACACAGACAAAGGTTAACTCTTATTCAGTCTTGATCACTGTAATATAAGTAATTGCTATTAATACTATTTTAGGACATTTTTAGCAGTACCTGAACAGCTGTTTGAAAGACAGGGGAAAATAGTGTGATTTGGCTCACCAAAATTCTCTTTCATGGCAAAAGCCTCCAAAAATCAGTTGAGTGATTGTGTATGGTATTTCCTCACATTAAAAAAACAAAATTAAAAAAAAAAAGAAAAGAAAAAGGAAGAAAGAAAGAACCCAAACTTTCTAAGCTGCAGTAGATAATAAAAACAGCTCTGTGTTCATCTCAAACAACCAATCCATTTTCAGCCACTAAAAGTCAAGCCAGAAGGCAAGTATTTTATTGAAATGCTCCACTGAATTTACACATAAAAATTGCCTTTTTTATTTCTTATTTTATTAATCTTCTTCTATTCTGTTTCTTAGAGTTATCATCTGTAGAAAGGAGCAATGTAGCAACCCTGGGGGTGGATGTTCCTGCCCTATTTACGCACAGATAACGAAATGTGGGAGCATCCACAGAAACTTCTGTGTGCTGTGCTTCCCAGCTGACCTGGCTGGACTCAGTTCCACTCCCTGGAGTCATTGGATTTCTGTGTCTGTGGGAAGGAGGTGCCAATTGGATGGGATTTTTATGATCTTTGAGCTGAAACCATATTGAAATAGCCCAATTGCTTCATACGGGGCATAGAACAGCTGCCGGGTTAAACAAACGTAGTCTGAGCCCAGGTGATCCTCTCTTAGGCCTAAATTTATTTGGTTTGCAGTTGGTCCATGGTGGTGCATTAGTATGAAGGCAAGTTCTTACTAATCAGTGTAAATGGGAGGATAAAAATGCTCAGATTTCAGTTGTTGATTCCTCCCGGCTTTGATTCCACCTTGAAACAGGAGAGCTGACAAGCCATTGCACTTCTGTTATCAGAAGGTACAAACAGTCTGCCTGCATAGCAATAGCAAAACAATGGAAAAGCAGGACAATGCTACTCCACAGAGTGCCTTAAAATACAAACTGACATTAAGCAGACATGCATTTACTGCAATGATTGGAAAGTGTGTGGCCTGGACGTTTGGGAAGCACTGCTACTTGATCCAAGGGAGCCCAAATGCTGCTTTCCTCTCAAATGCAAGGGTTGTAGCCTGAGAGGAGTGTTCACCTCCTGAACACATCTTTGATGAGCACTTTTTATGAGAATATTGATTGCCAAGTAATGCCCTATAAACAGAGCTGGCAGGACACACACGCAGCTGGGAATAATAATGATTTCAAAAGTCGTGCTACAGGACTGTCCTTTTAAACAAAACAGAAAACCAAACCAAACCAACAAAACTTCACAAAGCCCCCACAAACAAACAAAATTCCCAAACAAGTAGAAACAAAGCCCCTGAAAGCTAAGGCCACTTCATGGAAAAAGTGAGATTCACCTGCTCTAATCAAGACACAGGTTCCCAATGGCAATTGCTGGAAGGAATTGCCAAGGACACTGCACCCAAAAGCTCCAGGAAAGATGCTCGTTGAAATTCTTCCAAATAAAGTGTTGCAGCAGCCCAGGAAAGCTTAATCAACATGTCACTTTTGTATCTTCTCTATTAACAGTGACTCAATTAAGATCTGAAGATACAGACAGCTGGAAGGGTAAGTGGCACACACACCTTAATAATGTCCTTGTCTGCTCAAGGAGTAAGAGTTGATGTTGGATCTGTCCCTGACCTGCCACTGAGCTCTGCCTTGGGGACAAGAACAGGCTTAACTGCTTGTCCTCCCCAATATCAGCCATTAAGGATGATAATTAGTTAACAGTTATTTAGCACTTAGACATGCCTTCGATGAGTTAGATCTGTAGATTGACCTAAATAGGGTGCTTTTTATTCATGAATCAGAAAGACTTTCAACAGTAATTTATGTACACTTAAGGGCAATATGGTCACTAAATAAAATTCCCAATGAACAACTATTTAGTGCTCAGGAGATGAAAACAGCTGAGAGTAATGCTGGACATCCCAAAACATTAGTTACTCCCAAGCCTTAATTACTTGGATGCTCCTGTTAGTGTAAATAGGAGAGTTTTTGAGGGCTCCTCTTCTGCTGTGTGTTTGCAACACAGCAGATCCAGGGAAAGCAGCTTCTAGGAACTCCCAGGAGTGACATAGTAAGAAAAGCCAGTTAGGAGCAAAGATGCATTTCAGGTTGGGACATCTCTGAAGCCCCTTGCAAAGCAGCTGCACGGGCACTTCCCACAGAGCAAGTGACCTCCCCACCAGAGAAAATGGGCCCAGCAGCCCAGAAGAGGGAAGGCAAGGCAGCATATGTGTATTTATAGCTGCCCACAGGAAACTGGAATGAGATTTCTTTACACATTCCTATTTAAATAACTTTGCCTGTAATTTTGTAGCCAATTATGCACCTAATACAAATGTCCCATTTAAACAATAATAGCTTTTACTTACCGTGGAACTCAGATGAATCTAAACTAGTGAAATCAGCCTAAAATATTCTCCTTGTAGGACTCCTACCCATTTTACCCCGTATAAAATTTGTTCTTCATCCAAACTCAGATATGGTTGGACAATAAATAATAACAATAAAAGATAAAGAGACTTCCATCTCTAATCACCCATTTCAGATCAGAAGTCTGGGCCTTGTCATCTACTTTTAGCTATGGGTCATGAACAACAATGTGTCAATGGTCAGATTATATATGGCAAGCTGAGAGAAGCTAGATAAAAATATTTTCTCTTATGTCTGAAAATGTCTTTTGGGTGCCCTGTTCCTGGCTTGGATCATATCCCAGCTCCAACTTGATTTATTCAACTTGTTAAAAAATCCCTGCCTTATTTAGAGCTATTGTCAATCTTCCTTCAAGGGGGGATGGCATGGTGGGGAAGGGTATTGGTGGGAACTGCATCAAATGCTTTGCTTTCTTTCACTCTGCATTTTCCTCACTCATGCTATTATTTAATTCCGTGGCCATTAAATGAATGCATTTCATTACCCAATTAATTAGTCCTACCACTCTTTTCTAAGATCAGCAAGACGCACCATAATGAATAAAAGCCCCTCTACCTCCTCACCTCCCGGGTGTCCCAAAGCTGAAGATTTATATTCTCACATTTATTATATTCTCACATTTATTACTGTACCAGCAAAGCACACCATGGTGACACTTAGTTTTCGTACTTCTGCAGGAACTGAATTAACTATTTTTTTTTCCTTGTCTGTCACATAGTGGAAGTGAACACAGAAATCTTTACAGAATGCTCTCTGGTGTCCTAACCCTGATTAAACATACAGCACACTTCCTAGAATTTATTTTAGAGGTGTGAAGAAAGGAGTAGGTAATTTAAGGTTAGCAGGAACATAATTTCTGTTCCTGCAGTAAAGTCTATGTCAAGTCTTGGTGTGTTAGAACAGACGGAAGGTTAACCATTAAAACTTAACCTCTTCATCTGAGTTCCTTGAACAAAAAGGCAATATCCCACTAAATACAGCATGTGCAGGATATACTGGAAGATTTGTGCGTAAAACAGATTGCAATTTGCAACAGCTAGGTTTAATTTACTCAGGGACTGCTTATCTAATCTAGACAAAGCACCAAACTTCTGTCCACCAAATATTTCAGGTAAATGTCATAACCAGCAAATTTTTCCATGAGGAAGTGTTTCCATCTTCCATGTGTAAGGGACTCAGTCCTGCTGGTTTTAGGCAAGTTTGGAGGGTGCCTTATCATCTAACACTCTTTTAGATATATCTAGTTTAAGCTTGGAAAGGAGAGATATGTGGGGCACCCTCGGAGCACAGCAGGACAGTCAGTGCTGAAGTCACACAGGGAGGTTCCTACAGAGCTTAAGCAGATCCTGAATGGCACTTTGGTAATCCCAGTTTTACCCTAAGAAACCACAGCTGCTCTCAGCTGCTGCTTCTGGCTTCTAATTCTCTGCTAGATCTCTCTCCTTGTCACATGATATTTCAGTCTTCACAAGCTTTAAAGCTCCACCAGCCAAGGTGTTCAAGGAGATGATGGGAGTGACAGACCTGGGGCAACTTCTTTCATCAGCTCTGCTGGTGTGGGATGTCCGGTTTAAAAAACCCTGAGGCTACAGACCCTGACCCTTGTGAAGTAATACAGAGAGAAAATTCAAAGTGACTATTGGAAAAGGCAGCAATTAATAATCCCAGTTTCCTCTTGCTCCTTCCAGATCTGGGTGAGGAGAGGGCCAGGCCTCATTAAGATGGTCAGGGACTCTGCAGCATGTCAGAGAGAAGGGGAAATGTGTGAGTTTAGGGAATAGGTTGTTCTCTGTGCAGGCTTTGTATTTTGTTTCAATTAGGTTATTGATTCTGCCTGCTCTTGTTGTGCACAAGCTCAATGGTGTTTTAGCTGAAGCTATAAATAAGCAAAAGTTGGTCTCGTTTAAGAAAGGAAATCTGTCTTTTGAGCTGTTCTGTAAACCAAAGGCTGAAGGAGGCAAGTGGAGGAGTCACCTCCCCTGGTTCCACAGCCCAGTCATGTGGCTGGGTCAGGGAGCTCCCTAGGATGACTCTTTCAGCACATAATTAATTATGTGCTAACACTTCTGCTCCCAGGAGGAGCTTTTGGCCATCCCTTGCCCTGGTGCCCCCTGAGCGCTCACACGAGCAGCCCCTGCTTGCGTGGGTTGCAAAACATCTACTGCTTTATTTAAATACAGAGGGAAGACAAGCAATTGTTGCTTAGGTGACTGATTCCTACCCCTGTTAGAAATCTTATATAATTTAACAACAATATGTATTTTTCCAATTTTTACGTATTGAATTGTTTGCAAAGTCAAAAATGTTCTCTACTTAATATCACCGAGTTTTCTTAACATAATTTCTCTTCCACATCTTGCTTTCATTCGGGGTAAAATTCTGCAGGGGTTTGTGTGTGCAGGGAAGAGAATGTGAACCAGGGCACTTCATGTAACCTCCAATCAGGTGAGTCCCCCATGAATTCAGAGCCCTCCACCCTGCACATTTCACAGCTGCCTTTGGCAGTGAGGAGCCTCCATCCCTGAGTTATTGCTGCCGGCACCTTTACTCAGCCACAGAACTGTCTCATAGAAAAGCCATTTTCCCTTTCTTTCTAGCCTGTATTTATGTTGTTTCCTTTCCCTCAGCTCTGATCCACAGGTGCACCTCTCTTAATTCTCCTGTTTTCTCCAACACTGTCATTCCCCCTCCTTCTCTGAGTTTTTAAGGCACTGCGGAGCATTATCTGTGTCTGCAGCCTGTCAGTTGTCTCCCTGATCCATATCCCACACAAACCCTTCTGCTGCTTTGCCCTGTTTAAGTGCATCTTTTAACGCTCCCTCCTCTTCCTTTGACACTCAGATTTTGGTTTTTGGGGGTTTTTTCCATACTCTGTTTGGCATATTTGAAGCTTTGTGCCTCCTGCAGTGTTGCCAGACATCTGCACTTTCTTCTTGCAGGTACTTGAAAATCCATGTTGTGTTTAACTCTTCCTCCAGAAATCTCCTTTTGGAGCAGCTTGTCATGTTTTAATGCTTTTGGACAGCCCTGCAGGAAGCAAAGTGAGGGGAGAGCAGCTCCTGTCTAGCTCCTGACCTCCCCTTGCTTTTCCCTCACATTCCCGATGTCTTGCCTGCATCTGGCCCTGCTGTAGCTTGAATAAATAACTTGCACTTAGAAAATCCTAAAATTTAGTACAGGCCAGCTTCCTTACACTAGTAAATCTACCTTACAAGCTCACAGGAACTTGTGCTGCTCTGCGTTGCATCTGATTTAGGACATCATCCTGCAAGTCCATATTCTCAGGACCAAGATCCTCCAGCCTAGAAGGGAAGGTTTTAGGCTCCACAGACTAAGTTGTCTTACTAACTTTGACACAGAAAGCTACTCTGAATAGCTTAAATATTTCAGTGAAACATTCTGGGATGGAAGGAGAAAGGAACCTTTGTGGGACACAGGGATGTGAATGCAGATTTAGGTTTGCCTGCAGTGAGTTAATGCCCTGTTGTTCCTGTAGTCAGCACTGAGAATGACCTGAAGCCTCCACAGAAGTGACAGCCCAGCACTCCAAGATGGGCCCTTCCAGGTTTGTTTTCTTTTTTATGGGAAAGAAATAAAAACTCTATTGATTAAACCAGGACAAGCTAAAATAAATGTAATGATCTTCCTAGTCAAGCAGAGACTGAAGTATTAAAACAAAATGCACGCTTCCTTTTGTGGGATAGTGATGGGCTTCTCTTTGGATGTCATTCCTGCTGCCTGTCCTTATGGCTCTGGGAAGCCTTGTGGCTGCTGCAACAGTTTCTGTCCCTGCCTTTGGCCTAACTGGGAGTGCATTCAGTTTTAGTGTATCCCAGCAAATGAAAGCTGACAACTTTTGGGATACAAGATCCCTGCTGTGCTTTGCCACCCCCTTCCCGTTACCTGCTTGAGGATTTCTGCGGCCGTTTCATGGGAGCAATCAAATATCACATAGAATTCCTTGCCCTTCTTCATCTCCTTGAGCAAAGGCCTGGCATCCTTGTTCCCAGAGGGCAGCTGGCGGATTTTGATTTTAATGTTGTACCTGGAAGGGGCTTTGATGAGCTCCTGCAGGCGAATTAGACCTGGAAAACGATAGGCAATTATACAACTCACCCTCCTGTGCCACGAGGATTGATTGCCACTGAAACAGGGTCTCTTACCAGTTCCCAACATATTTCACATTCCCTAAGGATAATTGTTAGCTCCCTATTTGCCAGCCTCCTACTAACATTATTAAAGCTTTTCATTTTCATGTTTGTACTTGGCTTCGACATCTGAATATTTTGTAAGGTATTTCTAACTGCTTGACCACAGGATGTGTTTGCATTGATGTAATACAATAAAAACATACTGTAATATGTTTAAATTTATATAGTTCATTGCAAAAAGCACGTAAGGCTTCTTCCTTGGCAGCCAATTATTATTCCAACACCAACCAACAAGAATATAGAAGTAAAGAAACTTCCTTCCAACTCTCCTGCCTAATGTAAGGTCACTCAGAAAGTGTGAGACCTTATAAAGGACCAAAATATTTTGAGATCCAGCTTTACATCTGTAAACACATCTGTAAAGAACATGATTTCTTAGATTCTCTCTTCAGCTGGCACGGGTTTACCTCCCTTATTTGAAGTCAGTGGAGCTCAAGCAGTTGAAGACTTGTCCAAGTGTTTAAACACAGTGCAATTCCACCAGCTAATTCAGCACTCCTACATAATTTGTACTGCCTCCAAAACCTAAGGAAGACAGTTAAGAGCTCTTTGAGGTGTGTGATTACAGTCTCTTTCTCATTATCCATGAATGCAATTTACCCACAAAAAACCCCGTGATCTCCCGCCGAGCGAAAGCAAAAGGCTGCCTTAAAAATATGTGTGAGGAGAGAGAGAGGGGGGGGATACAGGCAAGAAGCACTTCTTGAACAAAAATCAAACAAATTATTAAAATGAAAAAACTCTTGGCTCTCCTGCTGGGAGTGGGTATATTTGTCCTGGGTTGAATGGTCCAGTGGTATGGATAAGGCAAGACAAAACATCCCTGTTTCTTCTGGGGTTACTGAGGGTTCGCTGCGCTGAGGACTGTTGGCTTTCACTCGAGTACTGGCAGAGTGCTTAGAAAAAACTAATCTTTCCCTCTGCCTGCAATGCTGGGCCTGTTCTTTGCAGGTTTTCAAGTATCAACAATCAATATAGAATATTAAGCATTATGAGTGTTCAAATGTAAATTGCTGCTGGGGGATCGGAGCCTGGCCGGGAGCCAGGCTGGGGGGCTATGGAACAATGTGAGCTCATTATTATGAGAATGGGGCACATGCTTCCAACATGGACTAACAAGGAGGGGAGTTTGTGAAATCTGGCTGTAAAGCTGCAGCTTGGTTGTACTAAGGGTTCAGCTGCAGTGTCTTGGCCACTATAATCAATGGCAGCTCCAAGAGGGAAAGCTGAGATTTGGGAGGAAGAGTCCAGAAATTTGCCTCTTATCCACAGCCTCAGACTGATTACTGTTGTTTCTCTTTCCAGCAGCTAAAAGTACTTATGTGCAAGAGTGGTGAAGGGCAAAAGAAAAGGATTTGCCAACCCATCTCTACCTTCTTTTAGGGGAAGGAAATTACTGTGTGCCTTAAAATATCTACCTGGGTCACATCAGACTTGGACCTTGCACTTCCCAGCCCTTCCCACTGCCACATGAAGATAAAGCCCAGGAATGGTGTACTGAAGGAATCAAAGTGGCAGTGAAGTGCAGTTACTTTTCTGGGGGACAAAGCAAAAGCCTGAATTAGCTGACTGCCAGATAATTAACAGCACAGGGGAACAACCTTCCTCTTCCTCCTGCTCAGCAAATCCAAACCCTTGGATATGATACCACCAAGCATTGATTTGGGACAGATTTTAAATGTGAAGTGCTCAGGCTGGCTCCAGGTGGGAGTGAGGAAGGTCTGGGTAAGTGCAGTGCTTGGGGCACTCACCATTGAGAGGAAAGGTTCAGTTTAGGGCTTTGAAGCAAAATCAGTAAGGATGGAAACCTTCATTAATTTTCTTGGCCTACGGTAGTCTCTGAGATTAAAAAATGGGCTAATATGTTTTTCCTTCTTGTAGTGTAACAATGAGAAATAAAAAGAGCTTAAGTGGCATCACTCTAACCCAAAATCCAAAGACTATTTATATCGATCAAAGCTGACCTGTTTACTTTCCTGACTCCGAGTTAATAAGATGATTGATGACTAATTTACTTTGTAAATACCTCTGCAAATGAAGTCTCTTTAATATCAGTCATTTTTGTAACTGAACACGTACACAGCAGTTAGTGTTTTGGAATGCTAATTTGGTAATGGGGTGGGCTGAAAAAGGCCTGTCCTTGTTCCTGTTTTGTCTGGGATATTTATGTAGGAGCTACTGCAGAATGTCCAGCAGAGGCCACGAAGATGATGAGGGGTCTGGAGCACCTTACTTATGAGGAGAGACTCCAGGAGCTGGGCCTGCTTAGTCTGGTGAAGAGAAGACTAAGAGGGGGTCTCATCAGTCCATACAAGGGCTGTCAGAGGATGGTGCCAGGCTCTTCAGTGGTGCCAGTGACAGGATGAGGAGCAATGGCCATAAACTGAAACACAACAAGTTCCACCCCAACATGAGGAAGAACTTCTTTCCCTGGAGGGTGGCAGAGCACAGGAACAGCTGCCAGGGGAGGGTGTGGAGTCTCCCTGTCTGGAGACATTCCAAACCCATCTGGATGAGTTCCTGTGTCACCTGCTCCAGGTGACCCTGCCTTGGCAGGGGGGTTGGACTGGGTGATCTCCAGAGGTCCCTTCCAACTCCAGCTATTCTGGAATTCTGGGATCATGTGATCAGCTTGAAGCTGTGTTATCAGTTCCACAAATAGGAAGCAAAATGGGATTGAATATTCAGAATGCAGGGGCTGCCTCCTGCTGACGCCTTAAAGTCTGGTGGACTGAACAGCTTTCCAAAATCCACAGCAGCAGCAGGACAGCTGCACCTCACAGGAGGTTTTTCTTCTGTGTTCTGACAAACTGAACTATCACAGGCACTCTCTCCCACAGAATTCCATGTATGTACTTAAACAGAAGCCCACGACCTGCAGCGCACCAACCTGTGCTGTCTTCGTACACCACTGTCACTATCTTCCAGTTGTAGTACAGCACGAGGTCCAAGACTGCCCTGCTGATGGCTGTGTAGTCCGGGTAGAGGTTGATGTAAAACGCATCCTTGTTGTCCACCGTGGGGTGCTTCCACCGGGTCTGGATGTGCGGGACCTCCAGGGCATTGCAGATGGACTGCACGGCGCTGACGGAGGAGCTGTGGGAGGGCCCGAACAGGGCCGCCACCCCCAGAGCCAGCTGGTCACACGCTGAGGGCAGAGCAGGGGCACAGAAGGTGTTGGTTGGCAAAAACAAGGAACTCGTGTGATGCTTACTGAGATCTTCTATCCTCCACCCATCCCCATCATTTCACAGTGAGAGCAGGTCACTGTGTGGCTCCCAGACCCACCGAGAATGGTTCCTAAAGCATTTAGAGGTTATTTAGAGGGTAAGGTTATTTAGAGGAGCGGCTGAGGGAGCTGGGGGGGCTCAGCCTGGAGAAAAGGAGGCTCAGGGGGGACCTTCTGGCTCTGGAACTCCCTGACAGGAGGGGGGAGCCGGGGGGAGTCGGGCTCTGCTCCCAGGGAACAAGGGACAGGAGGAGAAGAATCAGCCTCACGCTGCACCAGAGGAGGTTCAGGTTGGACATCAGGATGAATTCCTTCACGGAAAGGGGTTTTAAACATTGGAAAGAACTGGCCAGGCAGGTGGTGGAGTCCCCATCCCTGGAGGTGTCCAAGGAAGGACTGGACGTGGCACTCAGTGCTCTGGACTGGGGGACAAAGTGGGGATCAGGCACAGGGTGGACTTGATGGGCTGGGAGGACTTTTCCAACCAAAATCATTCTGTGGTTCTGAAAGCAGCTTTACTGATTATGATTATTATTATTATTATTATTATATCCTAAAATTTACTCGCTACAAATCAAAACTCAAACAACTTCCCTGCTTATGGCCTTCAGATAGCATTTTAACTTCTGAATTTCTAATTTTGATTTCTAAATCGCCTTTCTCAGAATGGCCATATCCTGGAGAAACCAGGATCTTCCAGGCTACAGGCTTGCCAAAGGAACATCACATGAATTAAGTTTCATGGCAGCATGTCAGGAAATATGTTCAGGGAGTCAAAACAGGCACTCTGTGGATTCCCTCTCCGACTGGCAAGTTTCTACCTCTGTGTGTTGCTTTAATTTCAGGCTACTGAAGGAACATAAACAGTAAAGGGCACCATGATTCACTGAGCTCCATAATCTGTGTGTACAAAACAGGCAGTAAAGCCTAAAGCCCTCAGTAACAACACGGGAAATAAAGAACCAACACACACTGACATTTTTATACCTCTCCAAATCAGTCAAACACTGACATCAACAAAGCTTTCTTTCTCCTTGTGCCCATATCTCAGCTCAAAGAACCCCTCCTGGAGGTAATTTTCCTTTCTCTCCTATTTTTTTCAGGTTGTCAGACAGAAGATGAAGTACTATTAGCTATTTTTGCCCATTAGTAACATTTACTGCAGATGTTTTTAATAAGGTTTATGGACTGGGACAAAGCCCCGCACTGAGTTGCAATGTTGTCCTTTTGTAAGGGTGCTCTCAGTGGGAAATTACTGTGATTGAGTGAAATATTAAGTACGCAAACATCCACAATGAGCTGAGATTTTTTAAATTCGTATTTAGTTCTCTGATTGTAATAGAATATGACAGAAAATCAATTATTTTCTGTTTTCAGTCTACAAACGAGTGTTTTACAGGCAGCATAAAATGCACAGGCTTTCCAGGTCTAATTCAGAAGCCTTTCTAAAGGATCACAGGTTTTAATATGCAAATTGCATAAATACCATCAATAATTCATGATGAGAAGGAATCACTACTGTCTGCACGAGTTTCTTGCATGCAGATTGACAAAGATATTTCTAATGAACTCCTCACTCCATTTTAAATGGAGAAGGTACTCTGAGAACAGTCACAAGAGAAGAGATTGTCACTGATACTGATCCTGTATGAGTCTGGATTAAATGGATTATAAACCCAGCACACTTCAGTTTTGATAGCATATAGTTCCAGCATATATTGGATAATTAAAAAAGAATGTTCTTAACAGAGAAACTTCTGTCTCTAAGCCACTGAGTGTTAATATTTCAGGACAGGGAGACTACTGGCCTCTGGTCTTTAAAGTGGAATAGAAGTAATTTGTTAGGAATGATGGCTATCTGTGCTAATTATGGGTTGTGGCATCCCACTGTGCTTCCTGTGAGCCCAGGATCATTTTTCTGCAGAATTCCAGGTGGCAAATATATGTTTTGGAAAGAAAAATGGGTTGGACTTGCCACCTTCCATCTGGGGCTCTTAGCATGCAGACAGGATAGAGGAGGTTATTCAGAAACTAGTGTCAAGTCCAAGCCCAGCTTGATTCTGAGCCCAAATATCTTTAAAACATTAATTTTATGTTGCTGTTCACAATCAGAGCAGAAAAGGAGATCAGGCTGGAAAGGTGTACAGTACAAAACATGTATGCTATTGACACAGTAATTGAGATAATTACCTCTTCTCGAGGCTTCAAAACTATCAAAAAGGTTAATTCTCTGGATGTCATAGGTTAATGTGGTATTAGGCATCAGTGTTCTGTTTCTATTAATGTTGGTGACAGCAAACTTGAAAGCCAATTCTTCAATATTAACAGGTTCATTTTCCACAGTTTCGAATATCCCTCCTGTTGAAACAGAGACAAATGAGAAGGATTATTCACCTCTGCATCGCTGTACATGAAAAGAGAGAAATAAATTATGAGCGATAATTTCTGAGTGTTTATAAAGGAAAACCAAATCACTGTTCAAAGCACTACAGCAAAAGCACACTGGATTATCAGTTTTTATCTCCAGAGGCACTGCAGGTTAACCCAATATCATGAATGTTGCTTAGACAAACATCTGGGAAAGATGAGGTGTGTTTGTTATTCAGGTTTTTCAAAGGAAAACTTTTAAATCCTTGTGAAAACTTCTATCTAATGAAAGCACTGATATTCACGGGTCTTGTCCCCCCTGCTCCAACCTGCTCTATATTTGGAGATGAAGCTTGGATGTGTTGGAGATGTTTTCTGAGGTGTTGCAAATCCTGGCAGTGCAAGATCCACACTCGAAAGGGATTGAGGAGCTTGAGAGGAAATGGAGTGAAAGTTTCCCCTCGAGGTCTGTGTTGTAGCAGGGCTCTGGGTTTTTTTAACCTTAGGCAATGTCATTGGTCATTCCTCAGCTTACTCAGGGACAGGGGACTATTTTTACTTTTTCCAAGCTCATTGCTGAATGAACTGAAGTTGGTGATCCAGAACATGGCCAAGCTGCTCCCACAGAGGATTCACCTCCGTGCCAAAGTGCTGAGTCACATCTCCAGTGGTGAGGTGTCTACCAGAGCCTTCTGGTTTGTCTCCTTGCAAGGACAGTGCTGGACCCAGCACAATCACTCCCAGATTCCCATCCTTCCTCTGGAATCTTCTTCTACCATCTGTTTTGATCTACTTGAATCAAGAGGTGTCCAGACCCACCCAGTGCAATTCCAGCTGGGCAGCTGCTCTTTGAGTGCTCTTCAGTTTGCCAAAACTTTTTTTCCTACCATTCAGACTGGAATTTTGTACACTTCTGGCTCCTTTTTCAGAAAAAATGAAGTGAGTCAGGGCTGTTGTTTAACCTGGAAGCAAGTTTTCCAAAAGAGGGCTGTAAATAACCAACCTGAATTTCAGAATTAACTTCTCTGGCACAAATTCTGAGATGGGGAAGGTGGCTGTGTTTCAAGTTAACAGGTTGTCCCACTTAGACTGGGGTGTCTGTTCCCTCTAGAGGCTTTATTATGCCAACACCATATCCTGACTGTCCAGGGGCACTGGGATTTGATGAATGCATAACAAACAGAGTTAATTTTTTAAAAAAAAAGCTCCTCTAAACAGCAATCTCCAGCTTCACTACTTGATTTTGCAAGTATAATTTACTCATTTAGTGCAAGTCACTAGAGAATACTTTGGATTTCTCACTTACATATTTCCACGCTTCCCCATGTGAAATTTGAGGCCCAGATATCTCTTTCTATTTTCTGAGCATCTGAATGCATTCAGCCTGTGAGCTGCAATCTCTTGCAGTTTTGATGTCGCCGATATAGGAATAGTGCAGCCATTAGCTGACAAGCAGAAACAGTGGAATCAAAGCCTGTTTGGAATGTTAACCCAGCAATGAAAGCACTGGAGGCTATCAGACCCAAGCTGGCAATGCAGTCCCCAGCTACTCTTGAATACAGAGTGTTGTATTATCTCTTGAACCCATATATAGCAACGCCTTAACGTGACTTCAGCAATTTGCCAACATAAGCAATTTTCTTGTTCTTCACTATATGGATTTCTCATTTACTATATAGATGTATTAAAACCTGAAAGACTTTCTGTTTTTTTCCCCTCTCCCTCATAAAACATGCAAGTGGTTACAAGAGACTGTGACACACAGAAAGAGCTGGAAAAAATTTAAGGGCAGGTTTTGGAACCAAACGTAAAACATCAAGTAGAATGCTAAAAGACAGCAGGATTTTACAGAGCTTCAAGCTCCAGATCACCTGAAGGGAAAAAAAAATCTAAAGCCTATGATGATACCAGTGATGATACCAACACTCATGGCTAGGCTTCGCGAACGAAGATTTGGGAAGGCTCTATCCACATTTGCTGCAGGCACGCTGGTGGCTTATGAGGCCAATACGTGACAGACAAATCCGATTGCAAAAGGCACAGCTGAAAGACTCCTTAGATGGTGTATTCTGCAATACACGGTTCTTTCTGCGTTGCCTTTTTTCCTCGAGGGTGATCCTGCGTGTGTTCTCAAAGGAGACAGCTGCGTTATAGATGGTGTGTCTCCAGGCCTCCCGATTTGAGGCCAGAGTAGACCAGTTATGGTGATCAATATGGCCAAGGCTGAGATGTTGTTTCAGGGAGTCCTTGTATCTTTTCTTCGGGGCTCCTCTCATGCGGCAGCCAGTGGCAAGTTCACCGTAAAGCAAGATCTTAGGGAGGCAGTTGTTGGTCCTTCATCCTGGAGACATGACCTGCCCAACGCAGCTGTGTTCTCATCAGCATGGCCTCGATACTTGTGATAGCTGCTTGTTCTAGAACAGATGTGTTGGTCACATAGTCTGACCAGTGGATGTTTAGAATTGTACAGAGGCAGCGTTGATGGAAGCGTTCTAAGAGACGCAGGTGGTGGCGGTAGATGACCCATGATTCAGATCCATATAAGAGAGTCGACAACACTATGGCTTTGTAAACACTGATCTTGGTGCTTTTCTTCAAGTGTTTATTACGCCATACTCTTTTATGGAGTTTTCCAAAAGCACTATATGCCTTTGCTAATCTGTTGTCTATCTCTCCGTCAATCTTACCATCTGAGGAGATGAGGCTACCGAGGTAATTAAACTGTTGGACTGATTTGAGCTCTGATTGACCAATGGTGATGTGGGGATGATGGGGGACATCCTGAGGTGCAGGCTGATGGAGGACCTCTGTCTTCTTTAAGCTGACCTCCAGACCAAAGAGCTCAGCAGCATCTGCAAAGCAGGATGTTAAACGCTGCAGGGCTGCTTCTGTGTGGGCAACAAGGGAGGCGTCATCAGCATAAAGCAGCTCCCGGACAAGATGGTTTAAGGTCTTGGTGTGGGCCTTCAGTCGCCTTAGATTGAATAGACTTCCATCAGTACGGTAACGAATGTAGATACCGTCCTGATCATTGAGGTCTGCTGTGGCCCTTTGGAGCATCATGCTAAAGAAGACGGTGAATAGGGTAGGAGCGAGAACGCAGCCTTGTTTCACACCATTCTTAATTAAAAAGGGCTCAGAAAGTGTGTTGCCATATCTGACTTGGCCATGCTGATCCTCATGGAGTGAGATAATCATTTTGAGGAATTTAGGGGGACAACCTAAACGTTCCAAAATCTGCCACAGACCTTTTCTGCTCACAGTGTCAAAAGCCTTGGTGAGGTCGACAAAGGTTACATAGAGACCTTTGTTCTGTTCCCTACACTTCTCTTGCAGTTGTCTGAGGACAAATACCATGTCTGTGGTGCTCCTGTTGGCTCTGAAACCACACTGACTTTCAGGAAGGATACCTTCTGCTATAGTGGGTATTAGTCTGTTCAAGAGTATTCTTGCCAGGATTTTGCCAGCAATGGAGAGCAGAGTAATACCACGATAGTTTGAGCAGTCAGATTTAATTCCTTTCTTCTTATACAAGGTGATGATGACTGCATCACGAAGTCGAGTTCCCAACAGCCGAGTTCCCAACAGCGCACCACGAACTCATGGAATTTGGTGTGGAGTGCAGGGCCCCCATGTTTCCAGATTTCAGGTGGAATTCCATCAATCCCAGCTGCCTTGCCGATTTTCACCTGCTGTATGGTTTCATCCCTGTACACAGGCAATATCTAGCAGAAAATTGAGGAAGAATTCTGTAGTTGATGATATCTTAAATTCAGCTACACACTACTTTCAGTCCATCCTCCAGCCTTCCTCATGAAATTTTGCTGTGCCTCAACGATTTTTCTAGCACTGGGCTTTACTGTAAATCTGGAAACATGCAGCCTATTTGTATAAAATGAAAACTCATGAGGAAATTCATGTCTGAATAATGCAGTGCTAATTTCCATCTATTGGAGGAGCTTTTCAGTTCAGCCGTCTCTCACAAGTGGACTTGATAAGCTAAAGTCTTGTTCAAAACAATATTTATAAACCATTAAATGTTTTATCTGAGAATGTTAGTATTCTATTAAAAATACCTGGTTTTCTTCCCCCTTCTCCCTTCTACCTATTCACAGACAGCTTCCTCTGCACCATTCCTGAATACAAAATGGACTTTATACCTAATAATGGTATTAAGCCAAGTACAATCTCTTATTGTGCATCAAAGATCCTTTTTTTTTTTGGAAAAACTCAGCCTGTAGGAAGACGGAGACTAACACTCTTTCTTTTGGAAAGAAAGAGTATAGGACATGAGAAAGACAGTTTAGAAGAATCAGGCACTGTTCTGCTCTCAATAAAGAGGAAGAGGACCAGTGGGATCTGGTCAGAGATTTAGGGAAATGCTTTATATCACAGTTCTCTGAGAGACATTCCAAACAAAATCTTACACAAACAGTTTAGCACTATCATGAAGCAAATAGGTCTCTCTCAGTCCAACCTGAGGTTGCTCCTTTTTTTTTTTTTTTTTTAAGCTCAGTCCTGTGGGGCTTTGAGAAAAAAAGAATTACTCCATGGAGAGTAAAGATGAGAACCCAATTGATTTGAAAACAATGTTGTTTGCATTAGGTGAGTTATTACTAATCAAAAAGCAATCACTGAGCAGTTTCTGAAATTTTGACTTTACAAAAATGATTCACCATGTAGCACAGAGGAAATGTGTGGCTTTGTAACAACTGCAGACTCTCACAGCAGAACTGTAGGTGTGGCTTATCTATCCTTCTCAACCAGAGGAGATAAACAAGGCTTTGAAGACAAAGAGCAGTGCCAAAGCCCTTAGCTCTGTTGCTGTACCTTGAGAAGTCCACCAAACTCTCAAGAAAACTCTCAGCTTTGAGCTGGTAAGCAGTTATTTGGAGAAGATACAGAAAGATTACAACCAGTGAGAAGAAAAGCCTTTAAATCTGTTCTTAAATTGGAAAAAGCTGTGCAGATTCACAGTAGATAGTT